AAAGGAAGCAATCTTTCAAACGCACATATTTGGTCTTTTCACGAAGGCCTCTACCAAGAACTTCGGTAGGAATCGGAGTTTGTTGTACTGTCACGGGCTCATGAACTGGTGCCAAAGCAGTAACGGATTCGACAACTGTCTCATCCACACTTGGAGGTGTAGAGTCTAAAGTTGTATTTTGCAGCGGAGCACGAGAGAATTCCCTCAGGAGAAGACATTGTCTCCACCATTTCATTAGGCAGAGGAGACGGCGGAGATAAATCAGAATCAATGCTCCCTCTTACTTCAGGCGTAACACACCAATCATCATTATTATTCATAACCTCTGGAGTCGAAACTAGCTTCACAATCTGTTGGTCAGCAAAAGGAAACACGTCCTCCCAAAAAATGACATCACGTGAAATCAGAAACTCATCTCGTTCAATATCATAAACCTTCCATCCTTTCTTACCAAACGGGTAACCAACAAACACACACAAACGACTCCGGTGACCAAATTTATCTTTGTCACGAGCTTGCCGATGAACATAACAAAATGCACGTACAATTGTTTGTAGTCAGGTTTCACACTGTGGAGGACTTCATATAGGGAACACCCATGGTGAATAGATGTGGGCGTTCGATTGATCAAGTACGCAGCGGTTAACACAGCCTCTCCCCAAAACTTGATAGGAAGATTCGCTTGGAACATAATTTCCCGTGAAACATTAAGTATATGTCTGTGTTTGCGTTCAACCTTTCCATTTTGCTGTGGTGTTGCAACACAAGACGTTTGGTGAACAATCCCATTATCTTTGAAGAAAGACGCAAGCACCATGAATTCAGTACCATTATCGCTTCGAACAATTTTAACTTGTTTGTTAAATTGTATTTCGGTATAAACAAGAAACCTCTTCAAAACATTTTGGACTTCTGATTTTCAAGCAAAAGAAACATCCACACAACACGTGAGAAATCGTCTACAATTGTTAAAAAATACACCGCACCACAAGAAGAAGGAACTCGATACGGTCCCCAAACGTCAACATGAATAAGGGAAAAACATTCCTTTGTTGTATTCAAACTATCATAAAAACTTTCCCGAGTTTGCTTAGCTCTAAAACAAATGTCACAAGAACTAGAGCTAGGCGTTTTTGAAGAGGTAGAAAGCGACACAAAATCCAAAAATACTGAAAAAGATGGATGTCCCAAACGCTGATGCCACAAAGCTTGATCTGAAGTACCAACTTGATATATCATGGTTTTTATGGTTTTTAACCATGGTATATGTCTTATTTATAGAGTCTTTTTAGTGTCTTTCGAGTCTTTTGGAGTCTTTTCAGGTCATAGGTACGTTTGGAGCTTAGCTGGAGACTTTGGAGCACTTTGGAGCTTAATCAGGATCAAATTCGTCAAGAATGGATTTTGTGCTTTAGTGACGCTCGACACCATGGAGAGTGACGCTCGACACTTGTCAGAGAAATAAGGAAAAGGCGATTTTGTTTCCTATTTGAAGAAGGAGTTGGGCCCAAACGTTTTCAAGGAAGCCCAAGACGTGTCTTAGAGATATATATAGGATTTTTATTCCCTTTTTACGAGAACCGGAGATTTTTGAGAGAGAGATACTCTGAGTTTTCGGCTTTTGCGATTTCTGAGCTTGGGGAGACAAGTCTGAACTCTGTTCGTTTAGAGAGAAGATTTCGAACCCCTTTATCTATTTCGATTTAATCTATTGCTTTCTATTCATCATGTTTGTTGTTTCAATAACCATGTCTGAGTAGATCACCTGTTAGGTTTAGGGTTAATTAGGGTTTTCTTTGAATGTTTGATTAACTTGCTAGCTAGGGTTCATATCTATTTGTTCTTCACCTTAGGTTGTTCTTAAAGCAAATTCTAGACTGATCACCTAGAACTTAGGTCTTAGGTTGCTTGATTGACACGGAAGTGTAATTGAATAACTGGAAAGAACCTGAGTTGAGCAAAGTAACTATTCGCAAAGGAATTTGGTTTAGGAGCTTTGTGAACATATCGAACTTGTGCAATTAAGGCTGGTTTAAATCTGTAGGATTTGCAAAGGAATTTGGAATTCTAGGATTTTAACTTAGATAATTCTCACAACGGAAGTTGGTTAATTATAGTTCTGTGTTTCGAGTTCAAGAACCGTGCTTAATATCTGAACCCTGACTTGTTAAGTTGATCTGCATTCATTGATCTCCTGAAAACGCCCTAGACCTAATCCTTACCACATCGAACTTACAAACCATTTTCCTTGCTGTTTTATTTATCTCTGTCGCATTGCTATTTGTTTCGCATATTTTGGCTTAGCGTAACTCCATCTACATAAGGTTTATTGAGTGATCTCTTGTCTCTGTGGTTCGACCCCTAGATACTACAACTGCACATCTGTGCTCTTGCAGAGTAGTTTAGGGATTAAACTTTGAGCAGATCACAACTGCTCGATGACTCTTTGTTGAGACAATATCCATAAAGTAATACACACCATCACACTCTTCAACGGCTCCAATCAGGGTCCTCGAAGAACGGTCCTGTAAAACACAAATCGTATCAGACATTAGTGTAAAACAATTTGTTTGTTTTAACAACTTTGCAAACGAGATAAGGGTGCAATTCAAATCTGGGACGTAAAGAACGTTCGTCAAGGTAATTTGGGCTGAGAGATACAAAGAGCCCATGCTGATGGCAAAAGTCTTATTTCCATCAGCGAATCCCACCAAACACGGCGAGATGATACCAACATTGGTCAACAAAGACAGGTTTCCCGTCATGTGATGGGAAGCACCTGTATCAAGAATGACATCACCGAGATCATTCTTACCTGATAACTTATCAGACACATTAGATGAACCAGCTTTTTCTTGAATCATCTGAGTTAAAACTTTCCATTGCTCAGAAGTAAGCTCAGGAAACAAAGACTAGTTAGAGCTCGTGGCATGAGCTGCACTAACTTGACCACGACCATGACCCGCATTGTTGTTTGAACCGCGACCACCTCTTCCAGAGCGTTCGGTGTACCACTCCCGGAATCCAACGATCTGCCAACAGTCACGTTTCTCGTGACCTGATCTTCCACAATGAGAACATAGAATGTGTGATCGAAGGATTAAATTCTCAACTCTGCTTTGATTATCTGCTTTGACTATCACAACATCTTGTTGTTGCTCACGTCCACGCGCAGAGGCAATTCTCTGTTCTTCACGAACGATTTTATTGTAAATTTCTCCAAGTGAAGGGAGATGATCCATACCAATTATGGTTGTACAAATCCTACCAAATCTCGCATCATCAAGACCCATCACAAATTGATGGATCTTCTCTTTCTCTTGATCTTTTGCGATTGCCGCAGCAGCACCACAAGTACAGACATGAACCGGACGATACACCTGCAATTCTTCCCACAAATTGGAGAGACGACCAAAGTAATCCAACACAGGTTGTCCTTCTTGCCTCCACGACGCAAGTTGAGCCTTCAATTGATGGACGCGAACCTCGTTGCCCACCTAAAACCTCTATTTCAAAGTCTCCCAAAGCAAACAAGCGTCAGAGATGTAGGTCACTATGCTTCTTACCCTAGGTTCGATCGAAGTACGAATCCAACCAACAAGCATCGAATTCACCGCAAGCCATTTTTCGAGATCAGGACTTGAATTCGCCGGTTTCTTCAACGTACGGTTGATAAACCTATTTGGCTTGGAAAGCATTGAGTAACTCAATTGACCATTCGTTATAATTTTCTCCGGTTAACATAACCGAAGTGATTAAAGCACCAGGGTTGTCCGAACCATACAACCTCATCACTGTTTCGATCTGGGATCAAACTTTTGAAAACTGATGAATCCACTCCACCAGTCATTGTTGTTATATCTCACTGAAATAACCAGACGTAAAAAATAAAATTTTGGAACTTCGAAGATATAATACCAATTTTTTAAAAAAAAATTAGGTTTCATAAATTATGCTCTGATACCATGTAGATTTTGATATTAAACTCACTTACCTTTTATTCATGGACAATGTTATGCGTAAATACACAAGGATATGGGCCTACAAAAATTGAAGTACACCATGTGTTACAAACTATATTAACATAGTTTAATAGCTTTTATATATATGCCAATATTAACCTTGACAATATCATGGGGTCCAACTCTTTTACGTCTTGTGGACCATATTGATGATTTGATTTGGTTGATATACGCATGCATATTGGTACTAAGGTTCATGTGTGGGTAATTACCAATAATCATTGTCTTTTGCTTTAAAATTAGTTAAATTACTCGATTGATACTTTGCGCTGATCATGGAAACAAAAAAGTGTATTGAATGATGTTGTTTCTGGTGACAAAAATAACTAAAGAAACTCTTTTAGAGCGAACTGAAAAATGTAACGGACTCTTACAATATGGTTTTTTTAATGGGCTCGATAAAAGATTTCATTTATCAATTCGGTTTGAGAGTTGGGTTTTTGAAGATATAAATATAAGCTTAAAGATTGTAATTAGAGATTGTAATTGATTATTCACATATTCAATAAAGAAACCGGTGTCTATTCACAACAAGTAGTGAGGAAATGACTTATTACCCCTTTTCCCCACCCCACTCCCCCCCCTCCCCCCACATTATTTTATCATCCCTTTTTCTTATTTCTAGCCGTACCTTTTTATTGATGAGATGTACTTGTCCATCTATAAACGCACTTATATACTTCGGTCACTCCTGTCTAATTTCTTAATTATGGCCCAAGTCCAACTAACGAGATAACTAAAAGGTGAATAAGTTATACAAATGCAGTGGACCTATTGCAAGTGTCGACTGATATGACAGAGGTGAGAAAAAAGTCCAAAATTATGGTCTGCTTTGCAACTTGGAAAGCTCATTAATTACATAACAGCTGACAATAATTTAGACATATATATTCATCAATCATTTATAAGGATTAAATGAAAAAGTTTTTTTGGGTCTCTAAATCAAGTTGCCTATCCGTAGATGATTGCTCCAAGTGATTGGGAATATGGTATCCATGATAATTCTTCACGTAAAAAACAGAAACATATAAATAAAAATTTACGTGGTACCGCATGATAAGTTTTCATGTAATCTACCGAGCCGTTGGGTTCACGTCGGTACCAAATGTCAAGCTCACTTCTATGGAACTCTTTGAGTCCATGTCCCTACTCGCTCCTGCCCTTGAATTTTCAGATGCTAGGCAATCGTTTAATTCAATAACAACTTGAGACATGGTAGGTCTTCTCGTTGAAGAAGGATTTATACAAGACATTGCTAGTTCAACAGCTTTCCACACAGAACCAGAATCATAGTCTCCATTTAGACTTGGATCCATAATGCTTGTGATGTCTCCTTTTGTAAGCATTAACCCCACCCATTCTGCTATATGTGGATTTTCCCGGCTTTGGTCTATCACTGGTCGGTTTGTGGTGATCTCTAACAATACGATCCCGAAACTATAGACATCACTCTTCTCTGTCAACCAATTTGTTCTGTAGTATCTGGTAAAATGAATTAGAGGGTAGATTTTCTCAATTTTTTTTCTCTATGGAGAAAATAGAAAATATCTCAAAAGCATTTATACTTACTCGGGATCGAGATATCCTGGAGTTCCAGCAACAACTGTTGACACATGAGTTTGACCTTCAATCAGAAATGACCTCGAAAGCCCAAAATCAGCAAGTTTGGCCTCAAAGTGTTCATTCAACAATATATTTGTGGTTTTGACGTCTCTATGAACCATTGGTGGTTTGCATCCATTATGCAAATACTCAAGTCCTATGCCACAAAATCCAACATGTTCAATCAAATGAAAAGCAAAGAAACAAAGATAAGAAAAATAATAGGGATAATCTATAAACCAACCTTGCGCAGACTCGACGGCTATTTTTAGTCTAGTTCCCCAGTTTAAAATAGAGCGGTTACGTGTTCCTATGTTTTGAATGGAGAGATAAATGTCAAAGTCTTTTGTAATCACCATAAAACAACAACAGTACAGTCAGGTCATGTTTGTTGTCTTACCTGACATATGTTCTTTCAAATCTCCATTGGCCATGTATTCATAGATAAGAGCCAAGTTCTCTCCTTCCTCGCAATACCCAACAAGTCCGACCAAATTCTTGTGATGAACTCTAAGAAGAAGTTCTACCTAAACACCATGCCAGAAAACACAAATCCAAGTTTCTAAAATTAGTTCAATCATTGATGTTTTCGCTTGAGATAGTGATGAAAGTTAGAATTTACTTCAGCTTTAAATTGTTTAAATCCTTGAGATGATGAATGGGAGAGCTTCTTTACAGCTACTTGTTCAGTACCGTTCACAAAACCATGATAAACGATTCCAAAACCTCCTTTACCAAGGACCCTTTGGAAGTTATTTGTCATTGTCATAACTTCTGAGTAAGTAAATCTTCTATTCTTTGCCATTATTGCCTTTTGAGATTGTGGCCCTAAGATCACAAGGCAAAATCTGGTTAAGTTTGATGTGTGTGTGTTTGTGTGTATATTTTGATATTACTCTTGAGCTTATTTATTGATACCTTCAACTTTTGATGCCTTTTTCTTTCTGAGAACAATGAACAGGACGAGTGCACCTATAAAAAAGATAGCTATTGAAGCTATAGATGCAACCACTGGTACAATGATACTCTTTTTCTTATGTCCTATGTTCACACATGAACTAGTTGTGCAAAGAAGATGGGGATTGTTGTCGGCACTGCAGAATGTGAGTGTTGTTAAAGATACCAAATACATTGGCGTGATAACAGTTGAAAAGAAATAAAATATAGCTTACTTTAGTTTCATTCCTTTCTTCTGTAGAAGTGAGGGAGGAACCGAGCCACTGAGATTATTACCACTTAAGTCTCTGTTGGAATAGACATATAGTTAAAACATACACAATTATGTTGAGGAGAATGCCTAGAGTAAACAATATTATAGTGTCTCATGAGAAACTTACATGACCAAGAGTGAATTTATGTCAGCTAGAAATTCAGGTATTACTCCAGTCAGATTGTTATTTGACAAGTCCCTACCATTAACAAAGGTGAAATAACCCATCAAACATGATTCATTTCGAAAGGTTAAACAAGTTTTAGGCTGGTCAGCCGTAGAGAGATACTTACAATTTTTGGAGGTGAGTAAGATTGTGAATGGCATGCGTGATGATCCCGGTTAATCCACTTGCAGATAAGTCTCTGGAGCAAAAAAAAATTGTGAGATATCTAGTTCAAAATTTGACATGATGTAAAAATTAAGAGAAATTACTGAATGATTCATCTTACAAGGAAGTGATTGTTGGTGGAGTAGAAATATCCGAGTTATTGCAGTTTAGACCGTCCCACAAAAACTGTTTGGGCACACATGGATCTCCTTGCCAAGTGGTTTTATTCAATCCATAAGCATCTTGAACATTCTTGATACCAGCAACTACGATTGTAAAGCTTGATGATATAAAAAAACCAACACACAAGACGCAAAACATTTGTAGATAAGATCAAGAATGTCAAATCAACATACCGTCATCTTCATTTGTCTCCATTTGCGGGAAATCAATCACCGTGAAAGCCTCGATAGCATTAAGTAGAGGCGGAAGAGTTGACTTTGACGTCTTCACAAGCTGCAAAAGACATGCCCCATCTTCGCATTGCTCTGGTTTTACATCGAGTACGGTTTCGGTCTTTAGCGGTACAGGACTGTAAGGTCCATATGAATATTTTCCATTCAGCGTCACATTGAATTCCCTTGTATCGTTGGCCCTTAGAGTCTGAATCTCTGCAAAGTGCATGTAGGAATAAAACTTCGTAGTAGGAGGATCTATAGTCCATGTAATGTTCATTGTCGCGTTAGCGTTTAGAGGTATTGCGCCTGTTGCCATTACACCTTGTGGTAATTCATAATTATTAGTAACGTTTACATTCAGATTCGTCGTTACTTGTGCCCATGACTTTTCCAAGAAGAATGCATTCCATTCACGATCATAGATATCATCTGGATACCTGTCACAGTTTTGTATTAAACCACATTACACAAACATGTTTAATGTAACGTTTGAAATTTTGTATCAATTCGTACCGTATTTTAAGACCGGAATTGCTAAAATATGTCCTGAATAAGAACTTGAACGAGCCGCTTTCAGTAACGTACGCAGTTTTCCGCAATGGTCGTAGCTCCAAGACATTTATGAAAGGTATACTTATCCCAGTCTTAACAAGACATACCTGTAAAGAATTGGATTTGGTCACATGAATGATCTCCTCTCTAGTATCATTACTAGTCACTGTTGTCCATATATTAGGACCCAAGTAAAGGTCAAAGTTTGGATCGATCTTAAGACCATCGTAGTTTCCATATACGAATTTGGCCTTGATCATATAGCTGGTGTCTCGGGTGACATTTAGGCTGTAGCAGTTACGAACTCCATCCGGGAAATATCTCAGTCTCAAAAAGGGCTTAGTGTAGTTTGGTTCAAACTCCTTGGCGATTATACCGGTTTTTCCACTGTTAACTAAACCCGCATCTGATGTATATGGTAAACCGGTTGGGAGTGCGTTGTAAGGAGACTCGTGAGGGGGTAGACCGCAATCCACATTGATGAATCCTAATGAGATAATAGATGGAAAAATATATTATCTTATAATCTAAGAACACACATATATATATTATATTAGATCAAAACAACAATTTTGTACGTACGGGTTGGATCTTGTGCTTGAACAAGATGAAGTATCAGCACACAAGTGGCAATGAACATAAAGTATCTCTCCATTTTTTTTTCTCCTTACTGTCCAAAGGAGAGAGATTTCTTTGAGATACCAAGCTATGCATATGAGTTTATATCTACAACTATAAGTCTTATTAATGAATCGATTATATAAAAAAAAAGATTTAAGGATAATGTTTCACGGTGCAAAATAATTCGGTAAAGCAAGTTGGGAGAAAATGACAAGAGTGATTTGTGGTCGAAAACTCTCTCATGTCCTATAGAACCACAAAACCGTTGACTAAGTCAACTAGAAAGAACACGCTGTAATGTCGGCGATAGTCGACGTGGAAAATGTCAAAGTAATTTGCGGAAGTAATTTGTTCATCAGCCTAAAGGCACATATATATACAAGTATATTAGTCAACTTTAAGTTAGAAACTAGCAATGTAGAACAAATTACTTTAATAATTCTAATAACTAACTATACAAGGCCCAATAAACCTAATATCTCATAATATCTCTTAATACCCCCCCCTCAAGTTGGAGCATGGAGATCTCGAATGCCCAACTTGCACAAAATTCCTTTGAACGGACGTCCTCCAAGTGCTTTATTGAAGATATCCGCCAACTGTTGAGTAGTAGAAACATGTTGGGTCTGAACAATTCCAGCCTGTATATCGTCTCGAATGAAATGACAATCAATCTCCACATGCTTCGTTCTCTCATGAAACACAGGATTAGCTGCAATATGAAGCGCAGACTGGCTGTCACAATATAAATCCATTGGACCAGAATGTGCAATACCCATCGTTAACAACACACTCTTTAACCACTTTAACTCCTTCAATGCCAAAACCATAGCTCGATACTCTGCTTCAGTTAAAGAGCATGATACAACATCTTGCTTCTTTGACTTCCATGACACAGGAGAATTTCCCAATTGTATCAACCATCCACTCAAAGATCTCCTCGTGATTGGACATCCAGCCCAATCTGAATCACATCAAGCTGTAAGATAAAAATTACAATCAGATTTCAACAAAATTCCCAATCCCGGGCACCTTTTCAAGTAACGAACAACTCTCAATGCAGCCATCCAATGATCTTCTCTTGGCTCATTCATAAATTGAGATAAAATGTGAACTGAGTAGGCAAGATCTGGTCTAGTCGCAGCCAAGTAAATCAACCTTCCAACCAGTCTCCGATACTTCTCTGGATCAGTAAAAAATTTTGTCGTCGACCTTCCCAACTGATGATTTTGCTCCATCGGAAACTCTACAGGCCTACCACCAAGCAAACCGACATCAGCAATAATATCCAGAGCATACTTTCTCTGTGATAAGTATATACCCTCTGCATTTCTTGCAACTTCCAATCCAAGAAAATATTTCAATTTTCCCAAATCCTTCATATGAAAGCAATTGCTTAAATATGTTTTAAACTTTTGTATCACCTCAGGAGAGCTTCCTGTCACCACAAGATCATCCACATACACTAGAACGTGCAAGTGAACTTTATCACGAACTAATGAGAAAAGAGAGTAATCAGCCTTACTCTGTGTAAAACCGTACCCCAAAAGTGCCTTCGAAAGTTTCGCGAACCAACATCGTGGAGCTTGTTTCAAACCATACAACGACTTGCGCAAACGACATACCATACCCTTCTTAGAAGCACCAAAACCCTGAGGTACCCTCATAAAGACCTCTTCATCCAAATCTCCATGAAGAAACGCATTGTGCACATCCATCTGATGTAGCTCCCAATTTTTCCCAGCGGCAACTTGAAGAACCAATCGAAATGTGCTCATCTTTGCTACAGGAGCAAATGTATCAGAATAATCAATCCCTTCTTTTTGACGATTGCCACATGCCACGAGTCGCGCCTTATACCTTTCAATTCTGCATATGATAAACCCATTTACACTCAATCACATGCTTACCTGGTGGTAATTGTTCAATCAACCATGTTTGATTTCATTCTTGGGCCTCAATCTCGAGTCTCATAGCTTCTCTCCATCGCGGATCGTTCATGGCTTCAGCAAAACTTTTCGGCACAACTCCTTCAGTTATACTACACAGAAATGCCTTGTGTGACACAGAGAACCTTTCACAATTCACATAATTCTCAATACCATAATCATTACTCAACTCCTGACTCACAGTGGAAGTATTCATTGTAAATGTCGTATTGCACACATAGTCGCGTAGCTTGACAGAAGATTCTTTCTTTCTCATTCCTCGTCCCAAAGTTTCTGTTGATGCAGGCTGTTGCACAGTTTCAGCCTGTGTCACCGATGCAGGTTCTGTTACTAAAGCAGGCTGCACATTCTCAGACTGTGTAACCGATGAAGGTTGCACAATCTCAGACTGTGTAACCGATGAAGGTTGCACAATCTCAGACTGTGTAACCGATGCAGGTTCAGTTTGTGGCGTTGTAATTCCTAAGATATCGCGTATTTCGTTTTCTATAGTCTGTCTTTCTTCTTCTGCAACCTTGTCTGACACAACCTGAGTCTGTGTCATTGTATCTCTTGTGAGAGGTTGTATAATTTCCCTTGTCAAGGCAGGTTCAATATCGTCAAATCCAACATTATCATCCACATATAACCTCATTTGATTAGAATTAGAAGGCTCATCCACCTGTGTATTTTTTAGCTCCAAATATGGGAATCGTTCCTCAATAAAAGTGACATCCCGAGAAACAAAGATTTCATGTGTCTCCAAGTCAAATAAGTTCCATCCCTTCTTTGCATAAGGGTATCCCAAAAATACACATTTTCTGCTTCTACTCGCAAATTTATCTCCATGACGTTTCTGATTGTGAGCATACGCTAAACATCCAAAAACTCGTATCTCACTATAAGCAGGAGCTTTTCCAAAGATGATTTCATAAGGACTCTTACCATTGTGTAACACAGAAGGCGTACGATTAATTAGATACGTAGCACTCAAAGCACAATAACTCCAAAGTTCTATTGGTAAATTTGCCTGAAACCTCAACGCTCGTGCGACATTCAATATATGTTGATGTTTTCGCTCCACTCTACCATTTTGTTGAGGAGTTCCCACACACAAAGTTTGATGAATTATCCCTGATGTACGAAAATACTCCTTCATACCCATGAATTCACTACCATTATCACTTCGCACGATTTTCACATGTTTCTCGAACTGACGCTGAATGAGAGCAAAGAAATCTACCATTGTTTTCTGAACTTGTGTTTTATCAGCAAGAAGAAAAACCCACACAGCTCTAGAATAATCATCCATGATAGTTAAAAAATAAGAGGATCCACACACGCTCTGTGTTTGATATGGCCCCCACAAATCACAATGAATCATCTCAAAGCATTCTTTGCTTTTCTCTGTACTCACAGGAAATACATTCCGACACTGCTTTGCTCGGAAACAGACATCGCAATCAGAAACACTAACACTCTTTTGATCCACTTCTGGCAATCTCCTAATAACCTTTTCAGAAGCATGTCCCATCCTTTTATGCCAAAGTTCCAAAGACCCCAACTTACTGACCTTTGCCACATTCACGGGTCTTCTGAATACCTTGAAGAAAATACAATCCATCTTTTCTTTCACCCACTGCAATCAGAATTTGCAAAGCAAGATCCTGTATCCGACACATTTGCTTGGAGAATAACACAATGCAATTCATTGCATCAATAATCTGTGACACAGAGATGAGATTGCACTTGAGTTCCTTGACAATAAACACATGTGTCAAAGTTAACTTCTCCGTCAATGCCACACTTCCTTCTCTATCAGCAATCACAACATTTCCATTAGGCAGACCCACTAAACATGGTGAGACTTTATGCACATCAAACATACCACTTAACGTACCTGTCATATGGTGCGATGCACCACTATCAATAATCCACTCATCTGTATAGGTGTTATCACTCACACGATTTGCTATCTCTAATCTTGAATCAAACCATCGAACAAGCTTATGCCATTGATCTTTCTTGAGCCTTGTCACAGCCTGAGGATCAACCTGTGACGCCTCCGTGTGTGACGCACGTTTTTCAGTGTGTGACACATGTTCCGTAGGTTTTTCATACTTTTCCAGCCACTAATCTGGATATCCATATACCTGATAACATGATCTCACATCATGACCATACTTCGAACAATAAGAACACTTAATTCTTCGACTCTGAAATCTCATATTTTCTAAAAAAACAGAGAAATTCTCCAGGTTTCTCCACCGAATAAAGAAATCCCAAGCCTTTATGGCTCTACAGAAATCCCGAACCTCGTCGGTCCGAGTTCACCAAAAACAAAAGAGCAAGACCTCTTCGGTTTGCTTTTTCCAATAAAACACAACTTATAAACAAGAATTTGAATCAAGAGCTAAACTAAAACTTTATGTAGCCTTAGGCTCTGATTCAAGAGCTAGACCAAAACTTTATGTAGTTTTAGGTTCTGCTACCATGTTAAAGTAATTTGCGGAAGTGATTTATTCATCAGCCTAAAGGCACATATATATACAAGTACATTAGTCAACCTTAAGTTAAAAACTAACAATGTGGGACAAATTACTCTAATAATTCTAATAACTAACTATACAAGGCCCAATAAACCTAATATCTCCTAATATCTCTTAATAGAAGCGAGGAAACAATTATACAGCATAGGAGAGACGTGCATTAAACCACTACCGAAAGTCTATGTCGATCAATCGCGGCATTTTGACTTCGACTTCTGCATTTTGGTCTTTGTCGTAATAGATGACTTTTACGAACTGAATCTGTACCGTCAAAAGTAAACGATCATAGGAAACGAGTTTCTATTATCGTTTTTTTTGTTTGGTTTTTACTTTTACCATATTTGTGTGCATGGCATCAGCTGTTAATTTTTTTTTTTTTTTTGGAAGAGTGATGGCATGAAACAAATTTGGCGATAAATTAAGTAATAAGAACCTTTTTGTTTGGTTTGTGGGTAAAAAGGCTTGTTAATTACAAGTAATGATTAAGGTTGCTCATTATGGTACACTGATACACAGAAGGGCAAGAAGACAAAGAAAAGTAATTCCCTTCTCTCCCGTCGCTATCTAATTTTGGAATAATCTGTCTACCGTGTGGATGGAGAATTGTTTTTGTTCTTTATTAAATTGGATTTAGGGTTTACATGAGATGGTTGTTGTTTGGCAGACTTTTACTGCATCAAAGATTCACGTTCCGTATACATGGCAGAGGCCTCACGTGAATCCTCTATAGCTTTCTTGTTACTACAAAAAGGGTTTCCTCTGTTTTCCTCAGTAATTAATTTTCATGTCTTATATATTATTATCTGTTTTACTTTACGGAAAAAGAAAAAGAAAAGAAGAGACTTTGAACTTTTATTCACGTATCAATAACAAAAGCTCATAGCTCATCAACAAAGATGACCTATCAGAGACACACGTATCTGAAGATAGTTTAGAAACATATAAACAAAATATCATGGGATAATTCTTCATGAGATCTACCGAGCGGTTGGGCTCACTTCAGTACCAAAGGTCAGGCTCACTTCTATAGAACTCTTCGAGTCCATGTCCCGGCTCGCTCCTCCCCTTGAATTTTCAGATGCCACACACTCGTTTAGTGCCATAACAACTTGAGACATTGTGGGTCTTCTTGCCGAAGAAGGATTCAAACAAGACATTGCTAGTTCAACAGCTTTCCACACAGAACCAGAATCGTAATCTCCATTGAGACTTGGATCCATAATGCTTTTTATATCTCCTCTTGTAAGCATTAATCCCACCCATTCTGCTATATGAGGCTTTTCTCGGCTCTGGTCTATCACGGGTATGTTTGTGATGATCTCCAACAATACAATCCCAAAACTATAAACATCACTCTTTTCTGTTAACCAGTTTGTTCTATAGTATCTGAAAAACAAAATATATGATGAAAAATTGTCAAGTTTCATTCTCACCATTGAGAAAAGAGAATTGCTTAATTAAGTTGTAATACTTACTCGGGATCCAGGTACCCTGGAGTTCCAGCAACAACTGTTGACACATGAGTTTCACCTTCGATGGGAAATGATCTCGAAAGCCCAAAATCAGCAAGTTTGGCCTGGAAGTGTTCATTCAACAATATATTTGTGGTTTTGACGTCTCTATGAACCATTGGTGGTTTGCATCCACTATGCAAATACTCAAGTCCTAGGCCACAACATCCGTTTTTAATTAAAAGATCTCTAGAAGTTGATAACCAATAAACAAACAATAGAAAAATTATAGTGGGTAATCGTTTTAACTAACCTTGTGCCGATTCGACAACTATATTTAGTCGAGTTCTCCAATTCAAAACAAAGCGGTTACGTGTTCCTGTGTTTTAACAGAATTGATTGATGTCAAAGTCTTGTGTTACCAACGTAGAACTGAAACAAGACATTTAATCATCTTTTTTCTTTACCTGACATATGTTCCTTTAAATCTCCATTGGTCATGTATTCATAGATTAGAGCCAAGTTCTCTCCTTCGTCGCAATATCCAACAAGACCGACCAAATTCTTGTGATGAACTCTAAGAAGAAGTTCTACCTAAAAACCAAGTTTTTAAAATTAGTTGAATCATTGATGGTTTCCTTCTAGATAGTGATGAAGATGAGAATCTACCTCAGCTTTGAATTGTTTGTATCCTTGAGATGATGATTGGGAGAGAATCTTAACTGCTACTTGTTCTGTACCGTTCACAAAGCCATGATAAACAATTCCAAAACCTCCTTTCCCAAGGATTCTTTGGAAGTTATTTGTCATGGTCATAACTTCCGAGTAAGTAAACCTTTTATTCTTGGTCATTATTGCCGGTTCAGATGATCGAGGAGATCGACCATCTGATGATTGCATATATGATGGTGGTGGCCCTAAGATTACAAGCCAAAAAGTTTAGCCCGACTTAGTAAGGTTTGCTGTATATGTATTTTGTGATATATATTACTTTTGAGTTTATTTATTAATACCTTCTACTTTTGATGCCTTCTTCTTTCTGAGAACAAGGAACAGGACGAATGCACCTATAAGAACAGCTATTGATGCAATCGATGCAACAACTGGTACAATGATACTCTTTTTCTTATGTCCTTTGTTCACACATGAACCAGTTGTGCAAAGAATATGAGGGTTTCCTTCAACACTGCAAAATGTGAGTTTTGTTAATTCAGATACCAAATTGTACTTTAATAGGCGTGATAATAATCGGAAAATATATTAAAAAACTTACTTTAACTTCATTCCTTTCTTCTGAAGAAGTGAGGGAGGAACCGAGCCAGTTAAGTTATTACTACTTAAGTCTCTGTGTGAATAGATAAAGAGTTAAAAACATAAGCAATGATGTTAAGTAAAGAGCTTAACCAGAAGAAAAAAAGGCCAAAACTTACATTATCAAGAGTGATTTCATATCAGCTAGAAATTCAGGTATTTCTCCAGTCAAATTGTTATTTGACAAGTCCCTACCATTAACAAAGGTGATATAATTACCTATCAAACATTATTCAGTTCCATACTTCCAATGGGTAAACAAATTTAAAGCTTGGTCAGATATACTTACAATTTTTGCAGATGAGTAAGATTTTGAATAGCATGCGTGATGATCCCGGTTAATCCACTTGCAGATAAGTCTCTGATGCAAACCAATATTGTGAGATATCTAGATCAAAATTAACATGATTTAAAAATTAAGAGAAATTATTAAATGATTCATCTTACAAGGAAGTGATTATCGGTGGAGTAGAAATATCCGAGTTATTGCAGCTTAAACCATCCCACAAAAATTGTTTGGGGACACATGGATCACCTTGCCAACTGATTCTACTCAGACCATAAGTATCTTGAACATTCTTGATACTAGCAACTACGATTGTAAAGCTTGATGATATCAAGAATTAACACACAACGCAAAAACATTTGTAGATAAGACGAAGAATTTAAAAATTAACATACCGTCATCTTCATTTGTCTCCATTTGAGGGAAATCAATCACAGTGAAACCTTCGATAGCATTAAGTAGAGGCGGAAGAGTTGATTTCAATGTCTTCACAAGCTGCAAAAGGCATGCCCCTCCGTCGCATTGTTCTGGCGTTACGTCGAATATGGTTTCCGTTTTTAGCGGCTTAGGACTATATGGTCTAAATGATTGTTTCCCATTCAATGTCATATTGAATTCCCTTGTATCTTTTGCCCGTAGAGTCTCAAGCTCCGCAAAGTGCATGTAGGAGTAAAACTTTGTAGTAGGAGGCTCTAAAGTCCAAGTAATGTTTAATGTCGCGTTAGCATTTAGGGGCGTTACGCCCGTTGTCATTACATCTTGTGGTAGTTCATAAAGATTACTAGCATTTACATTCAGAGTCGTCATTACTTGTGTCCATGAGTTCTCCACGAACATTGGGTACCATTTACGATCATAGACATCAGATGGGTACCTGTCACAATGTTACATTACATCACATTAAAACTTATCTAACCTAAGGCTTTCCATCGTTTCAAATGTAAAAACTATTTAGTATTTTTTTTTTTTGTGGGTTAAAGAAACCTATTTGGTATTGACATTTGAAATAATGTTTGATTTTTCAAGAAATAGAATAAACAAAAAAACGCATGCAAACGGTGTTTTTTTTTTGTTTTTTAATAAATCATATCGACTGATCCCATTAGTTCCAATAGGAATGCACTAAAGTGCTATAGTGTGGACTTCTCCTAGATTCAACGGACACCATAAACTCCGAACAGATTCGGTGAACAGACCACTAGATACATGAGATTTAATGGGCAACTACACTGTCTGTTTCGAATTTGGAATACGTTCTGACTAATGCAAGAAATAGTCAGTTGCATGTTACCAAACTACCAGGTAAACAGTCTAAGCCTTAGGCCAGATCCAGATTTCTCACATAAATGTGTTTTTTTATAATTAAAGAGTGTAAAGGTTGTGGGTGTTATTTGAAAAAAATACAGATTTAAAATATAAACGTAAATGCAAGAACCAATCTAAGGCATATATGTTTCTTACCGTATAGTACGATCTGAACTGCTAAGATACCTCCTGAATAAATACTTGAGTGAGCCGCTTTGAGTAACGTACGCAGTTTTCGGCAATGGTCGCAGCTCCAAGACATTTATAAAAGGGATACTTATTCCCGTCTTAACAAGACAGACCTGCAAAGAGTCGGATTTCGTCACGTGGATGAGCTCCTCTATCGTATCATTAGTACTCATTGTTGTCCATAAATTCGGACCCAAGAAAAGGTCGAAATTCGGATCGACATTAAGACCATCGTAGTTTCCATATACGAATGTGGCTTTGATTAGATAGTTGGTGTCGCGGATGACTTTTAGATTGTAGCAGTTACGTACTCCATCTGGAAAATATCTCAGCGTCAAAATCGGCTTAGTGTAGTCCGGTTCAAATTCCTTGGCGATTCTACCGGTTTTCCCACTATTAACTAAATGGGCATCCGATGTATATGCTAAACCAGTTGGGACTGCGTTGTATGGAGAATCACGAGGAGGTAAACCGCAATCCACATTGATGAATCCTAATGAGAGAATAGATGAAGAAAATGTCTTAAATATTATCTAGGTACCCGTTGATGAACACACATATACAGATTGAAACCATAATTTTGTACGTACCGGTTGGATCTTGAGCTTGAACAAGATGAAGTATCAGCACAAACGTGGCAATGAACACACACTGTCTCTCCATTTTTCTCCTTTACTGTCTAAAGGAGAGATCTTTCTTTCTTTTTTTTATTAGTAAGCTATGGAAATTAACGACTGTATCATGAGTGTATGATGCTTTGAGCTACTTCTCAAAAGTCCTAAGTCAACCTCCTTAATTATAGGATTGATGAATCGAATAAATAAATAACTGAGAATAATTATTTTACAGGGTGCAAAATAATTTGAAAAAGCAAGTTGATTGAGAGAAAAATGACAAGTGTGATTGATTATTAGTCAAAAACTCTCTCACGTCGTTTGAAACCACAAAACAGTTGACTAAGTCAACTCAAACGAACACGCTGTAATTTCGACGTTGGTCGACGTGGAAAAACGAGGAATAATTATCCAGAGAGGATACGTGCATTAAACAAACAACTTCTAATGAATACTACGTACTCGTTGACGTTGACTTTTTGTATGGCTCTTCATTGGTAGATCTGTCTCTTAGTCCTTCTCGTTGAAGATGACTGAATCCATCATCAAAAGTCAATGATCTTAAATATAGAGTGTATTTGTCTTTTTTTTTTCCTTTTTTTTTGCATGCCAATTGCCAAAGCAATCTTTAATGATTTTCGTCAGCCGTTGACTTCTAATTTTTTGGGAAGAGCCAATTAGGTGGGAGTGGGACGAACAAATTTTAGTGATAAAATTAAGTAATAAGGTCATTCCACAACAACTAGTGACAGCTCAGTTTACATATTCTAATTTTAAGAGAAATTAGGAAACAAAATTTGACAAAATACATTCCCTTGCGCATGGGTTAGTAGTATTAACTAATAGCATCCGACACCATGGTCATCGGCCAAAGTCAATGCTGGCCCTGAGGAGAAGCACATCAAGCACTCGCCTTGGGCTTTCGGATAGTTGGTTCGGTTTCGGGTAGGAATCGAACGGTTCCGGGTATTTCGGATATAGATGAAGAAAATCCGAAGTGATATCAAATGAATTTCAATTCGGTTTTGGTTTGGTACCTTCGATTCCGGTTCGGTTTGGGTATGAATTACTAGAAACCGATAAAAACCGAAATATTTCGGTTCTTAAATTAATCGGGTATTTTTGTACTCGAAATCCATATTTGTATTCGAAATATGCAAAAGTAACCAAAACTGATAAAAAAATACCAAAATCTGCAAACAAATATGAACTAAAAAGTACCAAATCCTTTAAACATAAGTCATCATCAAGTTTGAAAAGCAAAAGTAGAAGTCTGGAAGACGATGTAGCAGCATCAAATACATAAAACAAATCCGAGTTCGAGAATCATAGAGAAATGCATAAATAAAAGAAGTTCAACATCCAAAAGCCAAAGAGACAAAAACATAAGCATAAGTCGACTGAGATTCCTGACTTCAGAGAATGAGACTCCTAATCTGCAACCAAAAAAACGAGTAAACTATCACCAAAAATACATATCAAAGTACACTCATAAATGTTTATGGTAATTCATAAGTGTGTCCTTACCACAAATACAGTCTTTGATACTTCATTGACTCCTTAGTCTTCTAGATTCATATCTCCAAACTCTGTAAAATACAAACAAATAAAGTCATATAAGTAATGTTAGTACTTATAACTGAAAAATGTAACAGATTATGCTGACTTATTTCTTTGAAGATATCTTGATCTTCTATCTCATCAAATAGCTGCTCAATGGTAATGCTTCCTCTACAGTCCATACGTATCTCCGACTTAAGCCATTGCTCAGTACACATGAGAACTTCGATGGTGTAATGTGTCAAGCAACTCCTGCTAGGATCCAAGATACGACCACTTGTGGAAAATGCAGACTCTGATGCAATCGATGAAACCTGCATTGCTAATACATCCCTAGCCACTTGTGACAGAACCGGAAACTTAGGAGTATTGACCTTCCACCATGAGAGTACATCATACTCGGTTCCCTCAAATATATGTGGATTCTCCACATTCTCGGACAAGTACAAATCTAGCTCAGAACTAATTTCCTGAAACCCTGTCTCTTGTACCATCTCTTTGTAAACTAAATCCATCCTTTCATAGCGAGAACGACCAGCCAAGTTCAATCTACGTTTCCTAATTCTACCTAAGTCCTGAGAAGTTCTAGAACTAGATGCACCATTCGATGATCCACTAACCTGTGACTGAGAAAACGTACTTGTACTAGTCGTAGGAGTTGAAGATTGGTTGACAGAACCACCAGATCTGACATTGTACTCATCAAACAACCTCTGTAGAATCTCCAAGATGGACTCATTCATCTGCGTAGCAATTGCACTATCTGGCCCATAAAGCTTATCAAAACAAAGCTTAGCAAACTTCATCTTATTCCTTGGATCAAACACGGATGCTACTATCAGCATCCGATTCATCTCGGTTTCAAAACCGAACGGATCTCTATACTTGCCTAACTTTGCAATCATAGCTGCTGCTTTCTTCTTAAGCTCATCATCGCCATCTAGGCTCAGTAATATGAGGTTTCTCTCAATTTTCACCATCTCATTGTAACACTTATGCGCACGAGGGGAGTTAGTTCCAGAGAGGACAAGCGTCGAATTGTAAAAGATGAAAAGGAAGTGAAGTAACCTGTCCACTGCGTCCCAATCTTCTTCCATAGGCGGGCCAATCCTCTTTGTCCCATCAAATTTTTCCTTGAAGTAGTCGTTGTACAACTTGTCCTCAACCTGCATCTTGTCAAAAGCCACCTTGAAATCCATCACTCTATTCAACATCATATATGTTGAATTCCACCTTGTTTTGCAATCCAGAGACAGACTCCCTCTCGTCATCTTCCCCGTATCAACATGAAGCTCGAATGACATCAGCCTTGGTGTAGACGACCTCACAAACTGTACACCATTCTGAATGGCAGAAATGTTCTTGTCCACAACGTGCAGTCCATCCTTCACAACCAGATTAAGAATGTGAGTAGCACATCTTAAATGTAAATACTCACCATCGAGAACTAGTGCATCATCTCTGACATATCTGAACTCTTCCTTAAACAAACTCATAGCACCTGAGTTTGTTGTTGCATTGTCAACCGTTATGGAGAAGATCTTCTTGATGTCCCACTCAGCTAAGCAGTCTAGCAGAACAGTAGCTATAGTCGACCCTTTGTGGTCACTAATGTGTTTGAAACCAATGATGAATTTTCCACTGCCAGTTGTTGTCGATGAAGTGTGCAGTTATCACCATATAACTAGCCATCGTTTTTGAAGCCGTCCATATGCCAGTCGTCAAGGAGAGCCGCTGCTTATTGGCCGCAAGTGCTTTCTTCAGAAGTGCTTTCTTCCTCACATACATCTCCACTATGTCACGAGTCGCTGTTCTCCGAGAGTGTGGCTTGGGCAGTTTGACTCTAGCACAGAAATGTCTCCATGCCAGGCTGTCTATAAAAGACAGAGGCAACTCAGCTAGAACAACCATTTCGTTTGAAGCTTCCCTAATCACCGCATCAGACACCTTACACAGCTTCAAACCGTCTCCAGTCTCTGCATCCAGTTGTTGTTGATCATCCGGTTGCTTTGCTGCTACATACACAAGATGCTGCTTGCAGAATCTTAGATGCTTGATCAGATTAGAGGGGCCCGATGTAGTTGCACACCCCATTTCCTTCCCACAGTAATGACAGTTGCACTTGTCAAAGTCATCCTTCGCTCTTGTCTAATGGTTCCACACATCAGATCTTGTCCTCTTCCTTCCTTTCTTATTCTCCTAAGCTTTTTGTTTCCTTTTATTAGCAGACGTAGGAGTAGGAGTCTCAACTTTGTCCTCGGTAACTTTGAGGTTATCTTCAAAAACTGGTTCTTCATTAACGTTCGGTGAACCTTGATTAGAAGCCATCTGCATCATATTAACAAGACCAAACCCATCAGAAGTCATAATACAATGACATGAAACTATCGATACAACAACTTGTACACTCGATAACTAAGAAGCATTCATAACTCTATTGATACAACACAAGCAATCAAAACTCACAAACAATCTAAGCCGAGTACTAACAGAAGCATTCAAATGACAAAAGGAGTTATCCCTAATCATTTTCTTACTAAACCCACAAAATCAAATTAGTAAAACCCAGATCGAGTTATAACCCTAATTCGTTGTAAAAATGAATAAACAAGTAGGAAATGATGTCTATTTCTTTTTTAAACAAAGAGAAACAGTTAGCCCCAAATCGATTTCATATATGAACAGTAAACCCTAAATCGAAAAAACTAATTAAAGACACTCTAAAGACTCGATTTAAGTGTAACTCTTAGTGGAAATGAAAAATCAAAGAAGAAATTAGCTCTATTGAAATGTTTAAGTCCGAAACCCCAAATCAAAAAATTTCAGCAAAATCCATTCAAAATGAAACTCAAATGAAATCGAAAATGAAAAGGAGATGGAAAACAAACATACCTCTGACTGAACTTTTGATGTAGCAGATGGTGGAGCCGGCGAGGAAACGCGATGGCTTTTGAAATTTGCGGATTCCAGTTTTTCTGTTTGATTAAGGATTAGGGTTATATATGTATTAAGGAATGAGAAAATGAATCAGTTTGGTCGAGACAGAGAGTGTGTCTGCGAGAATTAAAGTTATAGGATGCACACTTTTTTTAATTCATTTTTTTGTTTATGGACCAAAATTTTACAAGTTCAGTCTAACATTTCGTTTGAGTATATGGGCCATAGTTTCGTTTTACATGGGCTAAACCCACCAACTAAAACCAACAATTTTCGGGTCTTCGATTCCATATTTCGGGTTTTGGATATTATCCAGAACCGAACCGAGATCTATGGATTTTAATCACATAATCCGACGAATATTTATGCAGGAACCGAAACCAAACCAAACCGGTAATTTTGAGTTGGTTTCGTTTCAGTTCTTCGGTTCCGGTTTTTATGCCCAGGGCGATCAAGCACTTTAGCTTTCAGCCTCCAAAAAAGAATGAACAAACACCCATATATTTCTCTTTGGGGATATGTTCTCAACCTTTCTCGTTAACTTCAACCTCAGAGTGATTTTCAAATTCAACTCCACCTTATTAATTTAATAGTAAGTTAGACAAAACCTTATTCGTCGACTAAAATTAGTTGTTTGTTATTGAGCAGTCTCACAATCTTGTTTTAATTTATTCATCTTACGAGTTTTCTTTCAAATGATTCGCTGTATAATTAATAATTAAGTTATTCTGCTAATACAACTAATATACCAGTCAAGCCTTAAATCTTCTACGCTTTTTAGCTCTTGTGAATGGATATTAGATCATTACATTTTGTTTCATCCATAATAAATATTTGTATCTATCGACCATGACCTGTAGTCTAGTAGTATGTGTTACTACCATCGATGTGTTTGCATCATTGGAAGTGATGTTGAATTCTCTGGTCTCACTAGCTTCAAGATCCTGGATTTCATAGAAATGCCTATTTACTAAAATTCTGCAGGGACTCTAGGTGCTTATTGTTATCTAAGTATGAAACCCAAGTTGAGTCATAGAAGACCTCATCATACCCATACAAGAGAGCCAAAGAGTCTCTTTTTATTTTTTGTTTGATCAATTCAACACAAAGAACAAAACAACAATTGGATTTCTTCAGAAACAGAGAATGTACACTTGTTTATTTCAAACACAGAATTTGGGAAATTTACAAGGGCAAAAAAAATAAACAAACAAGATAAATTTCCATGAAATCACATCCAACATATATCTTCAATTTATCTGGCTCCAGGGGCAAACTCTGAAGCAGAAGAGAGACTATGGTCAACTGAAGCCATTGAGTACATCTCTTCACCACCTTGTCTCCTTGAAATTTCCAAGGCCACACACTCATTTAGCTCCATCACAACGTGAGCCATAGTTGGTCTCCGGTTCGAAGACGGGTTCACACAAGCCAGAGCCAGCTCAACAATCTTCCACGCACCGTTTGTATCATAGTCCCCCATCAGTTTCGGGTCAACGATGCTCCTGATGTCTCCTTTGGTGAGCATGAACCCAACCCACTCATTGATGTGTGGTCTCTCTCGGGTTTTATCTATCACAGGCTGGTTTGTGACTATCTCTAGCAGCACTACCCCGAAGCTGTACACGTCACTTTTCTCGCTTAGCCAGTTTGTTCTGTAGTACCTGAAAACAGAACCAGAGAGAGATATTACAATTATTCTAATTTGGCCACAACAAGACAACTCAGAAAGTTTATTTATCAACTCACTCCGGGTCTAGGTAACCAGGTGTCCCCGCAACCACTGTCGAGACATGGCATTCACCATCGATTGGGAAAGATCTGGAGAGCCCAAAATCAGCTAGTTTTGCTCCAGACCGCTCATTCAATAAGATGTTGGTAGTTTTCACATCTCTATGGACCATAGGAGGTCTACATCCATTGTGCAGATACTCCAATCCTGTTACAAATGGTTATTGTTTCTTTCAGACATCATAAACAGAACATTTAGACGCAACACTTTTTCTTGTCATAAGTCAGACAAAAGGTAGAGAGAATAAGTCTGAGTTTTGTTCACCTTGTGCTGCCTCTACAGCTATTTGCATCCTGTTTTCCCAGGTTAAGACATTACCTCCGCGTTTTCCTGTATTGAGATAAGAATGTTTTAAGCTGTAGAAGGAAAGAGATGGATTCGACTAAAGCAGAGTCTCTTAAGTTAAAGTGTTTACCTGACATATTCTCCCTCAGGTCTCCATTTGCCATGTACTCATAGATCAAAGCCAAGTTATCTCCATCATCACAGTAACCCACAAGTCCCACCAAATGTCTATGGTGAACTCTTAAAAGAAGCTCCACCTGATAAAAGATAACAAAATTACCATCTCATGATTATATAAACTTTAATGCCATTTAAAAAAAAAAACGAAGACTAATAACGGATATATGCCTTGTTGAAGTACCTCTGCTTTGAACTCCTTATACCCTTGAGCTGATGAATGAGAGAGCATTTTCACAGCTACTTGAGTACCGTCCAAGTTTCCATGATACACTGTTCCAAAGCCTCCTTTCCCAAGAACTCTCTCGAAGTTATTAGTCATCTTCAATACCTCGGGATACGTGATCCTGCGGTCCTTTGTTATGATTGATGGATTGGATTGGATGGTCTCAGTCTTAACTATACGGGCAGTGACTGATTGGGGTCCTGGAGCTGTAAAAATCGTACAAATAAAGTAAGATTTCATATTTCATTAATCTCAAGAACTTGGTTTGGTGATTCATATATACATACCCGTAGTACTTTTCGGTTTCTTCTTTCTAACGACGAAAAAGATGGCCAAGATAACTAGCAGAACGAACACGCCAGCCATTGACGCTGCGATGGCAATCACTGGAACCTTTTTACCCTCGCCTTTGAGAGTCGGGTTCAAACTGTAATCATTAAAAGTGATGGGAATCCAAAAAAAGAAAAAAAAAAAAACAGAGAGATTTATGAAGGGAGTCTGATATACACATCTTACATTAGAGTTAAAGATTTGCTGTTTACCCTTTCCTGAAGAGAGTGTGGAACTGTGAGATTAAGCTTTGGGTTTCCGCTTAAGTTTCTGTGAATGAAAAAGATTGAATCTTTCAGAACAGAACAAAAAGAACAGCCAGAGGATGAGAGCAGTTGTGAAAAGAACCTCACATGAGTTTCAACAACTTCATATCAGCGAAAAACGCTGGAATCTCTCCTGATAAATCATTATCTGATAAATCTCTGTGCATCAAATAGAGAAAGAAAAAGGGTTCTTGCAGAGTTATTCCTCTCTCCCATAACAATAAATCATATTGGATACTAAGTTTCTTCGTGTACCACAATTCGGATGATTCGTATACTTACAGCTCTTTCAAAGTTGTTAGCTTGGATATCTCAGATGTTATGGTACCGGTCAACTCGCTCTCCTTCAGGCTCCTATTGTTTTTGTTACAGAGAAACAAAAAAGTATCCATAAAACTTAGAATTTATTTTAATAGAGGACCTTGCCATTAAGAATACAGAACATACAAGGATATGATCAGCGATGGCTCGGAGTCCGGATAACTGCAATTTAAACCTTCCCACCGGTAAACCTGAGGAGCACAGGGATCTCCTTGCCAGCTTAGTTTTTTGCTCAAACCATAAGTCTTCTTGATGTTCATCATAGCAGAAACTGATCATCGTCACATTCAAACTCATCTCAGAAACCACAACAAAGAAAGGTTAAAAAGACAAGACACTGTCACAAGAACATGCTTACCTTCACCCTTATCTGTCCCAAGCTGTGTAATGTCTACAACTGTATAAATCTCTAGGGCGTTGATAAGGGGAGGAAGAGTTGAGTTACCCGTCATTGTGAATGTGAAGTTATACTTCCCATCAGGAGAATTCACAGGTATTGAATGGAAGATGGTTGAAATGCTGAGTTTTGGAGGCCTAAAATAGTCATACCAACTTAAGCCACCGTTGTAAGTAATGTTGAATTCTCTGATATCATTGGCTTTTAGATTCTGTATTTCGGCGAAATGCATGTATACATATGACTGCGCAGAGACGTCATCAAGAGTCCACCATAAGTACCATGGCTTACTAGCATTTGCAGGTATAGCAGCAGTCTTCATCACGGCTTGAGGAACATCGTAGAAGTTATTTGTACCGATCGGGAGGTCGGTGCTTATCGACATGGTTTCATTATCTGAGAACGGAAGCCACGCTCGGTCACGTATGTCCTCATCGTACCTGAAGAGAGGCTCTTTTTTTGTTAACTCAAAAAACCACACAAAGAAACAACAAGTGGAAAGAAGATTCTTCTTGTTATTACCTGATGAACGATGATGATTGGGACGGGAAGTATATTCTGGCGAACAACATCAATGATCCGCTTTGTGTGTTATAACTATCATTGTTCAATGGACGAATTTCCAGTGAGGAAATGAATGGTGTGGTCGGTCCTGTCTTGACAAGACAAACTTGAAGACTATCTTGTGTTACAACATGGAAGATCTCATGCATCGAAGTATTTGTTACTCCTAGTATTTTGACAGAAGACCATTTGGTAGCACCAATGTGAAGATCAAAGCTTGGGAATTGATTCAAGCCGTCATAATTTCCATACACAAAGGTTCCTCTGATCAGATATTTGCGGTTCGCTGTGAGGTTGACGTTGTAGCAGTTTCTTTCACCCTCAGGGAAGCTTCTCAAGGCCCAAACCTGTTGCTGAAACAGAGTCGTGTATGCATCCTTGATTTTCCCGACCGATCCACTGTCGATGTAATCCGCGTCTGATTTGTATGTTATATTCGTTGTCTTCTCCACGTATGTTGTGTTCTTAGGCACCAATCCACAATCCAAGCTGATGAATCCTGTTCATGGGCAACACCAGAAATGTAAATCAAAGAAAACACACATTCAAAAGAGTTGTCAAAATCCTATTTTGTTTTCTTTAGCAGCAAAACAGAGTAACCTAAAACAGAGTTGTTTTAACTTTGTGCCAATGTTTATGTTACTCAAGAACCTGCTTGATTTTGAGCTTTGACAGATCTCAAAACGGTAAAAACGATGATCAAGAGTAGCAAAAACCAATCAAGAGACTTCATTTTCTTGGACAGGTGATTTGATTCAGAGGACACTATTATTCATTGCTGTTGATTAGCAAAAACTGAGATAACACAAACATTGGTCAACTTATTTCGATCTGATGAGTTGTGTAAACTTTGTGCCAAGTCTTAAACATTAGATTATTCAGGTGATTGTAACACTACCCTTACTTGCCTACGACATTCTTTGTGTTTCAGGCGTGTGAAGATTCAAATTATATAACAAAGATCAAAAATCAAATATAAAATAAATATGTAATCAAAATTATAAGAGAAACAGAGGGAGTGAGTAAAGCGTGTTACTTGCAGTTGCAGAGAGTTTTTCCTCTGTCCTAACTCCTAAGTTGTGTTTCACAATTAAAAGAAAATATATTTAACAAAAAACAAAAAAAAAATTGTTAGCATAAAAAGTAGGAACAATAAAATCAATCCTAATTTTTATAGATAACAAAATTCAATTTTCGCAATTGAAATCCTAATTATGAGTGTTATCATATATATTATAAGCGAAATAAAAATTTCGTTTAAAACTCTCTCATTTAATCTTAGGATGGCTAATTACCCTTTACCCCTTCTTAAATTAATTTAAATTGATTTTTATAAAAATATATATTAAAAAACGAAAATAATGGTTTAAATTATAAAAATATATATTAAAAAAACGAAAATAATGGTTTAAATTAAGTTAATAAACCATTATCGTACCGTGTGTTTAAAAAAAAAACTAAAAACATTGGTTTAAGGTTTAAAAAACAAATACCTGGTGGCTAATTATCTTTTACCCCTCCTTAAATTAGTTTAAATTAATTTTTATAAAAATATATATTAAAAAAACGAAAATAATAGTTTAAATTAAGTTAACAAACCATTATCATACCGTATATTAAAAAAAATAAACCAAAAACAATGGTTTAGGGTTTAAAAAACAAATACCTTTCCTTTAAAGAGATTGCAGAGTAAAGTATCTGTGATTCTTCCAAATACTAAACTTCCCTGAAGGGCAACAACGATTATATCAGGATTTCTTCTGGTATTGTTCTCTTTTAATTAAAGCCATACAAGTGTTGCAAGTTGCAGCAGAAGTAATTAATTTTCAGACAAACTTTCTTTCGATGCCAAGATTCAGGTTTTTTTTTTAAAGCTTGTCTTGGACCAGTTTGGCTGCCGAGAAAACTGTGAAAGGAGAAAAAAAAGAAGTGATTTGGGATTTCTTTAAAACCAAGGCGAGAGACAAGACGTCAATAGGTTAAATTACCAAATGATCTCTAAATCATTTTGCAAGCTTATAAGCTTCTAACAGAGGACAAGCTAGCGTATCTTCTGGGTTTCATATTTAGCCACATAGTTGATCTGACAGTTTTTCCAGGTTTTGTCGAGAAACCAAACTTCTGTAATCATACGATCAAATCAAGAGGAATAAAAGGAAAAGCTTTGGTTGAATCAGAAATTAGCTTTGGTTTCCAAAGTTGATCAACAACCCATCAGAGAAAAAGAGTTAAAAAAAAAAATCAAATAGAGAAGTTAACAAAATTGGTTGAACAAAAAGAAAACTTTCAACTGTTCAACGTTCAAATTAAGAGAATATATTTTTCTTTTCCCACTTAGTGGGCGTCTTTTGACAAACAAGAGAGAGCGAGAGTGATATATTAAAGTGTGTGTCTTATCTATTGATGACCGACAAAACCATTAGTTTTCATGGAGTATTTTCAACTGGGAAAATGCAAAGAAAAAGTGGGAGACACTAGAGAGGGAGAGAGATAGATGGTCGAAAAATAAGTAAAAGTGGAAGTTTTATAGCCACAAAGTCGTGGCCTTAAGCTCCACGGGAGGGAAGAAGAATGAAGAACATAGAGGTAATCGGTGAATCTTTTCTCTGGCCAATTACACAGAGGTGATCAGTGTATCATACCAAAGAGACTTGATTCCCAAGGCAAATGAAAATAGCCAAAGCTTCCACTTTCCTTCCTGGTTGCTAGAGATTTTTGTAGCCGATATTATAAATTTATAATAATGTGCAACGATTAAAAACACATGTCCAGTTCTAATTCTTTGGCTAATCTATTATATGATCGATATATTGTATAAGTCTTCTATAAAAAGTTTTTTAGTTTGCATGATGATATATGTAACGGAAGGAAGAAGAGTGTTGTGGTGCATTTTTTCTATTAATATATAGGTTCATCTTTTTCCATTAAAATACCCAAATTAAAATGAAATCCAAGCTAAACTTTAGGGAAGGTTCATCTTTTTTTATTAATATGTTTGGAATTACAAAAAATATCTCCAAAACATTAAAAAGAAAATAAAGTATAAGAAACCGAAGAAGAAAGAAAACCTAGCAACCTTAGACGTTGGCAGCCTGATTGGATTCGGTTGCGACATATTACTTTGGTCGAGTGAATTTCATGGACAACAAAGATGGTTTGGATGTGGTAACATGAATCTGTTTTTGGTATTTTATGTTACGTTTAGTAGAATTACATGTACACGTGATAGGAAAGGTTACTTAGCTTCACAGTGGGTCTTGTGTTTAACTACATAACTTTTGAGGAAATTGTTTTAAAAGTTTGTGTGAGAGGGAGGAAGAGAGAAAGACGTAAAGAGAGAATTAAAAGCCTTTAAAGACATATAGATCTGGATAGACAAAGTGAGTGATGGAGGGAATGAGTGAGAGAGAGAGAGGGATATAGGGAATGAGTGAGAGAGAGAGATGGAGGGAATGAGTGAGGGATAGGGAAATAGGGAGCAATGGGGAGAGGGAGAGAAAGATAGGTGAAGCGCAAAAAGGAAAATGCATGAAAGACAATGAAGACAAAGTAGAAGAAGGTAAAAATGAGGAGAAATACAATAAAAAAAAAGACAAAGACGACAAAGAAGAAAAATCAAACGGTATAAAATGAGGAAAGAAAGAACACGAAGAAGTACATTTATCTTAATTTAGTTGGTTATAGGTTTCATACACTTATTTACTATTATTTTTTGGGTTTTTAGTTTTGGATGGTGTTTACTTTTTAGGATTAGTTATGTTTTTGATCTCGTATGTCTTAAATGGGTTATTCTAATTCTTTTGGGTTTACAACTTTTTAAAGTTTTTTAACGTTTTTGAAACTTTTCGGCTTGCGCAAGGCGCGGGCTAAACACCTAGTTCAAATGAATGAGTCAGCTTTGGCAAATTGTGGACTGTGACCTCGTCGTTACTTACATTGCCCACAATTATTAGGTGCTGACTTCAATATATAATTGCAGCCCATCTAATTTCGCCAAAATATATATATATATATCCCACCATCAATAGTGGACTTTAGTTAGTATTTTTAACAATCAAACTGTTGATTTTTAAATCTAGTTATAAAGGTAATTAAGATTGAAGACGTGCAATTATCCAAGAAAAATAATACTCCAAAACCTACAAATTAAAGTATTAATAACCAACATAAACCAAAACTTCACTTTGATTTTAATTATGGGCCGATCTAGTTTAAGCCCATATGGTACAAACGAGCCGCACCCATATCGTACAAATGAGCTGTCTAGACAATATCAAAATCAACATGGAACATTTAGAGACCATGGAGGGGTTATTGAAAGTTGGATATACGAAGATTTTAGTTGATTTTAAAAATCATGAGATTTATCAAATTTTTAAGAGTTTTGTTGGATTTGTAAAATTTAGAGAGAATTTTGTGAATTAAATAATTTATTAAAAAAATTTTAATATGACAGATTTTGAAAATTCAAGGGATATTTAGATAATATTTTGAGAATCATGATTTATGAATTAAATTGTAAAGAATCATTATGCCAATTACAACTAGATTATAAGAGAATCATTGAATCATTAAAATGCAAACTTTTTGAATAACAATAGATTTTGATTAGATTATAAAAATCATCATATCAATAACAATTGATTTTTATAATCTCTAAACGAATAACAGTAGAATCTATTAAGAATGTAAAAATCACAAATCAATAACTATAGAATAAACTCTAAAAATCTTTATAAATCAACTTTCCAATAACACCCCTAAATGTTGCAAAATGGAACATTTAGTTACAAAACAAGTGCACAAAGAACGCACATCACCATCCTTCAATTCTAACACAAACACAAAAGATCTACTTAGTCTCCTTAGACTTCTTCTTCATCTCTTTGTACCTAATCTCCTTATTCCTCTTCCTCTCTTTCAACTTTGTAGTCTTCCTCACGTTTATCTCAACAACTCTCGTCTCCCTATTTTTACGCCTGATCTTAGCAGGAAGAACACTCTTTGGCATACCTAGAAGTAGTCTCAGGTTATAACCAAATAAGGCTAACCTAAAAAGTTCCACCGAATTCTCTTGACCTTCTCGCTCACACAAAACTAAAATGACGGTATGGCCCGCTGCTACCAGTTTAGATAAGAGGTCTTTGAAACCAACATCTCTGGTCATTATGAGAATGTTTTGAGGCGGATAATGCTTGGTAAGCCAGCGCCGTACCGACTTCTTGAGTTTGTTATTTGCTGCTTGGTCAGCTTTTGAATTTGAATCATCGGATCCTGGAAAAAAAAGTGAAAATTAACTCATAATCTGTTTTTGAAAGAAAAAAACAAGATAAAAAGATGGTAGAGAAACAAACATCTTACTTTTTTTTCTTGGCATAAATGATTTCCATTTTTGTGGCAGCATCGCTCATGTAACTATCTAGATAACCTACGATAATCTTGACTTCAAGTGGCCCAGTAAAACCTTTCTGTCTCAAGCTATTTCAGATGTGTTTATAAATGTCTTTATAGTATTATCATAGAGGATGAGAGCGTTCTCGTAATCCCACCAGCCATCAGTTGGTCGTTCTCATATGATCTGCTATGAGCGAAAGCATCGGCCAGAGGCAAGTTTTTCTTAATGATAATTAATTATCGATTTCGACAGAGAAAAATGTATACATGCGATTTCTCATAAACAGTTGTGTCCCCAAAAGTCCCATGTTTTCACGTTTCCATGTTTTATATACATCTTGTAGGTAGCAAAGAGCAAACGTATAAGGAAAGCATTCCGGACGGGGTTTCGTCTTCTTGATAATCATTTACGTCTTACTAATCGTAGAGCTCGAAAATAGTGGTGAAATTGATACTAAGTGATTAGTCCTGGAAGCTTATTATATTTCGTTATCAGTCCTGGAAGCTCCTTATATTTCGTTTCTAGTCTATGTTTCAATCTGAAGCAGTATTTATTTTTCATTTCGTTTTGCTTGTTTAGTTGTTTCATACAATATATATATACATATATATAACAAGTTAATCGTATTATCACCGATGTAATGTTAAGATCCAAAAGTTGCCTCTGGCCGATGCTTTCGCTCATAGCAGATCATATGAGAACGATATACCTTTTTGATGATTGATGGATTGGATGATCTTGTCTCAGTATTAACAGTACCAGTAGTTACTGATGGTGGTCCTGGAGCTGTAAATCTATAAAATAAGTGTATGTAAAAAATCTGACAAGTTTCACTTTCATTAGTTTCTAGTAAAACCAAGTCCCTTTCTGTTCTTGTGACGACAAATATGATGGTCAAGATAACTAGCAGAGCAAACAGCCCAGCCACTGATGCAGCGATAGCAATCACCGAAACCTTTTTATTTTACTTTTTGGAGTTGGATTCTGGCTTTCATCCAAACTGTGTTCAATAAAAGTGATCAAAGTTCTTTTAGTTTAGTATTTTCACTCTTTTTCCAGGTTTTCATCTCTACTGAAATCACTAAAAAAATTGGGAAATCCTATTTGATTTCGATTTCGATTTGATTTCGATTTTGATTCTTTTCTGGAGAATCCCAACACTTTCAAGAGAACCCTCACTGATTTAGGGCTAAGCTAAATAAGTTGTGTGTTTATTTATCCTATCTATTTTATTTTCTCTTTTTCCTACTCATTTTATTATTAAACGAGTATATTCACATTTACCTAGGATAAAAAATAGAGTCAATTTGCTAGAAATACCAAAATTTGGTCAAAATTAGCTAAATAGGAATGACAAGACGTAAATCTATTTCTACAGTGTTTGGTCGGAATGTTAATTACCATATAACCCTCCTTTCTCCGTCTCTCTCTTTCTTCTCTTTTTAATTTAACAACGATGAAAAATTTAGCTGTAACAAGTTTCATGTTATTGTAGCATGTTAAATATTATAGTATTATGTAAATATGTAGGTTAACTGCTAACTTTTAGCTTAGCACGATAACATAGTTGATATCAGTTAACTTTCATGTTTTTTTTTCGTCGGAACATTAACATTTTTCTAGATGTGATGATTTTGTTATAAGTTATATTTGATTGTAATATGTTAATTTATGTATTGTACCTCTAACGTTTGTTTTAACATGGTAACTTAATTATTTTCTCTTTAACTTACATGTTACCTCTAAATGTTTTACGTTATTATACCATTTAAACATTTAGATATAGCTCTAACTTTATATTTCACAGGACAAATAAAATTTTGAATCATCAACTTTCATCTTCAATCTCCAGAAAAACCCAATATATAAACAATTGTCGCCGATATCAAAATCGATCTAAATTCCCAGAAAATCACACCCAAATTTGCGCTTCCACCTATTTTTGCATCATATCCACATCCATATCTTTGGTGTACATTCTTTTGACATTGACAATATTGATTTTCAGTGTTTGGTGAGTGTGTGTAAGAGACTGACTGAATGATTGTAAAAAAAAATAAAGAATTGTGAGGAGAAAGAAAGATGAACGATTAAAATAAAGTACAAAAAAGAAGAAGTTGTGAGAGAAAAATATCAAGGGTAATAATGCCATATTAAAAAGTGTAGATGAGTGTAATAGTGCGTTTTCCTATTTTACAAAATATGAACAGTTATGAGGTTATCTACTACAAATACACTAAAAAATAAACCTTTAAACAACCAAAACAGAGCATCAAAACAGAGCATCATCCTGATTTTTCTCCAGAGTACATACAGAAACCTCTCTAATACTGAATTTCATATCAAAATGTCGTGATCCAAAGCAATATACACATACTAAAGCTAAATACTGTTGGAGGAACAACCACCTCCTTTTATGCACAGAACATATCTTACGAGACTTCAATATGAACACAATCGATTACAAAAAACAACATAGCTTCACATCACATCAAAAGGCTTTCAATTTACCTCGCTTTAGGTACGAAACCAGAAGCAAAAGATGGGCTAAACTCTGTATTTGTGAACATACCTTGACTACCTTGTTTCCTTTCGATTTCAAAGGCAAGACACTCACTTAGCTCCATCACCACGTGTGGCATCGTCGGTCTACGGTTCGAAGATGGGTTTACACAGGCTAGAGCCAACTCAACAACCTTCCACACACCGTTTGTGTCATAATCCTCCATCAGCTTCGGGTCGACAATTCTCCTGATGTCCCCATTTGTGAGCTGGAAACCAACCCATTCTGTAATGTGAGGTTTCTCTCGGGTTTTATCTATCACGGGCTGGTTCGTGACTATCTCTAGTAGCACTACACCGAAGCTGTACACATCACTCTTCTCGCTTAGCCAGTTTGTTCTGTAGTACCTGAAATATTATATCAAAAAGAGATAGAGAGAGAGATTACTATTCACATTCTTCATTACTCATCATTTGGGTAACAAAAATGAGTGATTCACTCACTCAGGGTCTAGGTAACCAGGTGTTCCTGCAACGACTGTCATGACATGAGATTCTCCATCGATTGGGAAAGATCTAGAGAGCCCAAAGTCAGCTAGTTTCGCTTGAGAACGCTCATTCAATAAGATGTTAGTAGTTTTCACATCTCTATGAACCATAGGAGGCCTACATCCATTATGCAGATACTCCAATCCTGTTACACATGGCATTATTTCTGTCAGTTTTCCTTGACAACCAATCACAAATTGTCTTGTAATGGTTAAATAAAAAAGTCAGAATTTTGTTCACCTTGTGCTGCCTCTACAGCTATTTGCATTCTGGTTTCCCAGCTTAAGACATTTCCACCGCGTTTTCCTGTATTGGGTTTTGAATATTCAAGTGTTGGAATTGAGAGATGATAAAAAATTGGAGTGGACAAATACCAAATTCACTTAGTTAAAGTGTTACCTAACATATTCTCCCTCAGGTCTCCGTTTGCCATATATTCATAGATCAAAGCTAATTTATCTCCATCATCACAGTACCCAACAAGTCCCACCAAATGTCTATGGTGAACTCTTAAAAGAAGCTCCACCTGATAAAAGATAACAAAAATACCATAACATGATAAGAAAAACTTCATACTCATTTAAATACAAAGACTTAACGGATCTGTGTCTTGTTAACTTAAGCCATTTCAAATACTAACTATGGATCTATGTCTTGTTTAAGTACCTCTGCTTTGAATTCTTTATAACCTTGAGCTGATGAATGAGAAAGCATTTTCACAGCTACTTGAGTATCATCCAAGTTTCCATGATACACTGTTCCAAAGCCTCCTTTACCAAGAACTCTCCCAAAGTTATTAGTCATCTTCAGTACCTCGGAATACGTGAACTTGCGTTCTTTTTTTATGATTGATGGATTGGATGATCTTGTCTCACTATTAACAGTACCACTAGTTACTAATGATGGTCCTGGAACTGTAAATCCATAAAAGAAGTGTGAGTAAAATCTGACAAGTTTCACTTCCATTAGTTTCTAGTAAAACTAAGTCCCATTCTGGTGATCATACGTACCTTCAGCAGTTTTCTGTTTTCTCCTTGTGACGAAAAATATGATGGCCAAGATAACTAGCAGAGCAAACACGCCAGCCACTGATGCAGCGATAGCAATCACTAGAACCTTTTTACTCTTACTTTTCGGAGTTGGATTATGGCTTTCATCCAAACTGTATTCAATAAAAGTGATGAGAAACCAAAAAAAAAGAACAAAGTGATCAGAAGTTATTTAAATTTAGTATTTTCACTCTTTTTCCAGGTTTTCATCTCTACTGCAATCATTAAATATTTTGGAAACTGTTGCAGATGAGTCTGCTATACTTCCATAACTCGAAAAGGTTGAGACTGAATCTTACATTAATATTACAGATTTGTTATCTATCATCTTTTGCTGAAGTGCTGACCCATTGAGGTTTGGGTTTCCGCTTAAGTTTCTGCAAATTACAAGACTGAATATTTCAGAACAGTACACAAAGAGCGGAGATATGAATAGTCATTCAGAAACTCACATGAGTTTCAAAAACTTCATATCAGCAAAAAACAATGGAATCTCTCCTTGTAAATCATTGTTTGATAAATCTCTGCACATTGAGAAGAAGAAAGAAAGAAAAAAATGCAGAGTTATTATTCAGTATACCAATTTATTGGCGTGACAGTTCAGATGCTTACAGTACTGTCATCTGTGTTAGCTTGGATATATCAGATGTTATGGTACCAATCAAATTCCTCCCAGTCAAGTTCCTAATAAAAGAATCCAAGAGTTAGAACTTGTGAAAAAACCTGAAACAATAAAAGATGAACAGACAAAACATACAAGGATATGATCCGTGGAGGCTCGGAGTCTGGATAACTGCAGTTTAAACCTTCCCACCGATATAATTGAGGAGCACATGGATCTCCACGCCAGATAAATCTTTTGCTCAATTCATAAGTTGTCTTGATGTTCATCATAGCAACAACTTATAGATCATCACATTTCAAAAAAACTCATCTCAGAAACCAGACAAAGATTATAAACAGAAAAGAAAATGGTAAAAAGAAGAATGGGCTTAACTCACCTTCATCTTGGTTTGTCTCGAGATGTGGAAGGTCTAACACTTTATAAATCTCGAGGGCGTTGATTAGAGGAGGAAGAGTTGAGTTACTAGTCATGGCGAAAGTGAAATTGAATTTCCCATCTGGAGAACTCACAGCTGTTGGATTGTATACAGTTGTTATGCTGAACTTTGGAGGCCTAAAATAGGAGAACCAGCTTTTGCCACCATTATAAGTAATGTTGAATTCTCTGGTCTCATTAGCTTCAAGATTCTGGATTTCAGCAAAATGCATGTATATATATGACTGTGCAGTGATCTCGTCGAGACTCCAAGCTATTGTCAGAGGCTGGCTATCATTTGCAGGTACTGCAGCAGTTTTTGCCAATGATTGTGGCACATTGTACAAGTTACTTGTGTCGACCAAAACATCTGTGCTTAGTACTGAATTTCTCTTATCTAAGAATGGGACCCAAATTCGGTCATGGATGTCCTCATCATACCTATAGAGAGAAGCAGAGAGAGAGAGAGAGGCCCATTTCTGTTTATTCAAAGAATAAAAACAAAAAATATGAAAATTAAACCTTTATGGCTCATTCTCTTTACCTGAGAAACGATGGAGTGGGAGAAAAGTAAACTCTTCCGACCGCAATCAGCGATCCACTTTGCGTGGCGTATGTATCACTGTTCAAAGGACGAAGTTCCAATGACGAAATAAACGGTGTTGTTTCCCCTGTCTTAACAAGACAGACTTGAAGCTGGTTTTGTGTTAAGACATGGATCATCTCGTGGACAGAACCATTTGTCACTCCTAGGGTTGAAACAGAAGTCCAATTGTTAGGACCGATGTGAAGTTCAAAGCTTGGAAGTCGATTCAGACCGTCATAATTCCCATAGATAAAAGTTCCTCTAATCAGGTATTTGCGGTTCGCTGTGAGGTTGAAGTTGTAACAGTTTCTTTGACCTTCAGGGAAGCTTCTCAAGGACCAAATCTGTTGCTGAAACAGAGTCTTGTACGCGTCATTGATCTTCCCGACCGATCCACTGTCGATGTAATCTGCGTCTGATTTGTATGTTATATTCGTTGACTTCTCCACATACATGGTGTCCTTAGGCTCCAAACCACAATCTAAGCTGATGAATCCTGTTCATGATCAAAGAAACAAACTTTTCTAAAAGGGTTTCTCAATCTGAGAAAAATAGGAATCAAAGCATCAAGCTTTGATGAAAAAACTGAGAAAACATAAAGCAGAATAAGAACCTGATTGATCTTGAGCTTGAACCAATTCAAAAATGGCAAAAGCTATGATCAAGAAAGGCAAAAACACAAGAAGAAAGTTCATTTTTTTTTTTGGACTGTGTGTTCTGACTCAGAGGAGTTATGAGGCTATTCAATGTTCATTGTTGTTGATGGGCAAAGATTGACATAACATAGTATTGAGCAATTAAGATGGCTAAGTCTTCAACATTAGATTATTCAGGTGATTGTAACACAATTCTTAATTGCCTACGAAATTCTCTCTGTCTTGTGGAAAGGTTCATATTAGTATTGGTGGCAGAATAATAAACCCAAAAAAAAGGGAAATCAAAAGAAAGTATATAAAGAAATAGAAAGAAACAAAGTGAGATAGATGCAGAGTCTTGCCTTCCACTAGAAACTATTATAACTGAAATGGAGCAGAAACTACAAATCAACCCTACTTTTCTTTTTCTCAATTTGAGCTAATTTGATGCCTAGTTTATATGGAATACGCGTATTAAAAATTATTAGTGTTTAAATTTTCAAAATAAGAAAAAGGTGAAGAAATTTTTTTTTAAAAAAAGAATGAGTCAACTTTGGGTAATTCTGATTTGTGACCTCGTCGCTGCCTAAATCCTTGAATTTACAAAGCGTTGACTACAAATATCTAATGCATGTAATTTCGTCACTGAATTTGAATTTAGTTAGTATTTGAGTAATTTATTATGGTTACTTGCTCTTGAATAAATCAATCAAAGGACTCATTCTAAATGTAATTAAACTATCTATCTAATACTAAGATTCAAGGAGAAGATTCAACTCATGCATTTACCCAGGAAAACAAAAAAGGCTACCCAAGTAAATAAGGGAATACCTTTGACTCTTCATGATGGGCCGATCCTCACCAACCATAACTAGAAGCCGATATACAGATAATGGGCCGTATCGACGTGTTGGAAAGAAAACGGAGTTGCAAGGGCATTTTCGGAATTTGATTCGTCTCGGAGCGCCGGAGCCGATACAGCTTCCAATGCAGCCACCGGAGGTACGGATATAACTTACGGTCAGTTGATTCAGTAACTCTCACCAATCGATTTTACAAGGAATCAACTCAGAGAGAAATCGCAAATCGGATTTACTCAATCTCACTAGCTACATCTCTCTCAAGAATGGGAATCAGATCATCTTTACAGATTCAAACGTACACTGTTATTGCAGCGAAAACAAAGTCGGTGATTGGTAAACCCTAATATCCTTGCACGTGTCAAGTGTCACGTGTGAACAACTACTAATGCCCTTCTTTGAGACCCTCTCTCTCAACGAGAAGTTTCATAGTATAGTGACGCTAAAAAAACCAGCAAAATATGGAAAATAAATTCATGATGATTTCATTCATACTCCAAACCAATAATAATCTCACAAATTTAACTTAAAATGAATAATCACATCTCCAAGAAGAAAAGGAAAAAAATTGATTCTTCATGAATCATAACCGTAATATGGAATGTCTAGATCTAAACTATGCTCCGACGAAATAAATTTTCTTGTTGGAATTTAATCTTATTGAATTGACAAAAAGATATGTGACCACTTTTAGCGGGTAAATTTATATCAAAAATATAGACAACGGATGAAACACATACTATTGTATTAACTGTTTTGGTTCCATATTCTAAAATTTGTGTATTTGAATTACATAATTGTGACTCCAAAGTTGAAAGTTGAAATATAATTAGAATTCTCCATGGTTTTAAGAATATTGATATTTAGTATATTGTTTTGGGTCACAATTATAATTACCGTAAATCATTAGTGGGGTGTGTGTGTTTTTGTGAAATTAGTGTGGAAGTGGTCAAGTATGGGGTTTAGTGGTGCTCCTATAATTATTGAGAAAATCAGGTAAAACATGCGCTCAAATCAAATAATTAAGAAAAAATGCTAAGAAAAAGTGAACTACTAAATCTTTTGTAATACGTGAAAATCCAAAAATAAAAAATAAATAAATCAATATTCTTGACCCAAGAAAAAACAAAATTCAATATTCCAAACAAAAGGAGTGTGAAGGGTTAAGCATGCACATGTTGTTTTGTCCTAAGGGCTTTAAACTGAGCAGCAATTTGGTCGTAATCAGGAAGCTTAGGATGAACATGTTTTGGTAATAATCTTCTTCTTACTTCTTCTTCTTCTTCTTCATTCTTCACTCTGAACACATTGTATACAATATGGTAACAATTTGGTGAAGATCTTCTCTTTCGACCAATCCTTTTTTGCCTCTTATAGTACCTTAAACTTTCCATGTCCTTAAACCCTCTTGGTGATAATGATGATGATGATAATAATGATGATCTCTCATCTTCACTACTTTCTCTGAATCTGAATACTCTCTGATCTCTTCCCACTTGTGTCTCCTCTATATGATCATCCTCCATTGATATCTCTTCTTTGCTCTTCTCTTCTTCCACATCCGTGAGACTAAATTTATACACTTCCGGTGGCTCATCATCAGAGCAAGTATTTAAATCCGAATACATCTTTTTCTTCTCTTCCTCTTCATTTACCTATAAATATACAAGTCCAAAAGAATTATGACTCCAAGAAAACTATAATCTATATAAATCTTGATATATACAACAACAACAACAAAAAGAAAAAACAAATCACCTGTTTCTCAATTTCAGGTGTATATTCCAGCCTTAACATTTCTAAACGGAGACCAGTTTCATTTGCTATTTCATCCAAAAATTTGGACTGTGAATCCTCAGATACCGAAGTTACCGACAGTTTCTCTTTGATCTGCGGATTCAGCTTAAATTAAAGTGCGAAAAAAAAGGATAAAGATATATGTGTGAATGAATATGTATTTAAACCTGGAAGTTAACAAAGTTTCCTTGGAGAAGCTGAAGAGCTTTTGTTACATAGTTTAGACCGTAACGTTGAACAAAGAGCTCTCTGATGCTAATTAGCTCAGGTAATTCTCCACACCTCGCAGAGGCAAACACAAGACTCGAAACTGCTTCGTTAATCTCGTCATTAAGCAATTCTCTGCAATTTTAGAATTTATCGAATTAGTGTTTAAATTCTTGAAAAAAACAGAGAATCAACGTAAACACACACACAAAAAAAAGGGATAACCTGTGTTTTCTAATGGAGGAGAAATGGAGAAGGATAAAATCAGAGAAATGAAGCAACAAATCGTAGATTGAAATCGAGTTTTCGACGAGGAAGAGCTGTTTGGTGCGAAGGCGAGCTCGTGTGTGGTCATTGATTCGGATGAAGAGAGCAATGTCGTGACGTAAATGTCTTGAAATTGCGTATTTCTTGTTCTTGAGTAGCTTAAGACGAGACTGAAGCTGCTGCAACAATTTCTTACATTTGGAAGCTTTTCGCCATCGACGGAACAAGAAACCAAACATGATTAGACTCAGTTTGAGAGCAAGACAGAGAGAGAGTCAGAGAGAGTGGGGTTGTCACATTACTTTATGGGAGAGTGGCCATTGACGGTTATTATTTGCCTCCATTTTTTTAACTGCCTTATATCAATCGAAAAAGGCTCATTAGTTATATTGGGGTTTAAATCCAATAATTGGGCCGGGAAAGAGCATGGCCCATATAAGTTGAAAATGCATGCATTTACGATTTCTTGTTACCCAAGCAAGTAGCACATACTAAAGGGGTTAATACTTTTACAGAAACAAACCGCTTGATTGATCCACAGATTATTTGAGAGCAATCACTATGCTCTTAACACATCAAATCCTTTTGTTTTCACCTCGGTCCAGGTGAGAATCCAGAATCAGGAGATAAGCTAACCTCAATAGAATCTTTGAATAAATCACTCGACTCCCTTGTTTCCTTGCAATTTCAGACTCCAAACACTCTTTTAGCTCCATCAAAACATATGGCATTGTCGGTCTACGATTCGAGGTATAGTTTACACAAGCCATAGCCAACTCCACAGCCTTCCACACACCGTTTGTATCAAAATCTCCCATCAGTTTCGGGTCAATAATTTTCCTAATGTCTCCTTCCATGAGCATGAATCCAACCCATGCTGTAATGTGAGATTTCTCTCGGTTTGTATCAATTACAGGCTGGTTTGTGATGATCTCTAATAGAACTACACCAAAGCTGTAAACATCACTCTTCTCGCTTAGCAAGTTTGTTCTATAGTACCTGCAAAGAGTATTAAAGACATTACATTTTCATATTCTATATTTGATAAGATAATTGATTGAATTTACTCACTCAGGGTCTAAGTAACCAGGCGTTCCTGCAACGGCTGTTGATACATATGATTCACCATCGACCGGGGAAGATCTAGAGAGCCCAAAATCGGCTAGTTTTGCTTGAAACTGCTCATTCAACAATATGTTAGTAGTTTTCACATCTCTATGGACCATAGGAGGTATACTTCCATTGTGTAGATATTCCAGTCCTGTTACAATAAAGGGTTGTTCTATTAGGCATGTCAAATTTCATTTAGACATAGAAATCAGAATATAAGCAAAGAAGTTTTGTTGTTTCATAACCTTGTGCTGCCTCCATTGCTATTTGCATTCTGTTTTCCCAAGTTAGAACATGTCCACCGCGTTTGCCTATACTGAATTTCGATTGATTTTTGTTGAGTTTTCCATCATATATAGCAGAATCTCTTAGTGAAAGTGTTTACCTGACATATTCTCCTTCAAGTCTCCATTTGCCATGTACTCATAAATCAAAGCCAAGTTATCTCCATCATCACAGTAACCCACAAGTCCCACCAAATGTCTGTGATGAACTCTTAAAAGAAGTTCTACCTAAGAAGGATCATAGAATGTTTATTAGATACTTACTAAACAAAAGAGTAATTGATTTATGACACTACTTCTCTATTAAAGTTACCTCTGCTTTGAAATGTTTATAATTATGATCAGCTGATGAATGAAAGAGCATTTTCACAGCTACTTGAGTATCAGTTAAGTTTCCATGATACACTCTTCCATAGCCTCCTTTACCAAGAACTCTCTCAAAGTTATTTGTCATCTTTAGTATCTCAGAATACGTGAATCTCCGCTCCTTTGTTCCGATTGATTGATTGGATGATCTTTTCTCACTATTTACGCTACTAGGAGCTAATACAATGGTAGAAACAAAATCAAACGGATCAAATATAAAAAAAAAATCCGTTCCCTCTTACATTACTGCTAATACCTGATGCAATGATTATACCTTCACTACTTCTCTTTCTTTTCCTTGCAACAATGAAACATATGGTGAAAATAGCTAGTAAAGCGATCACACCAGCCACAGATTCTGCGATAGCAACCAAAGGAAACTCTCTACCCGGTTTTTCATCTATACTACAATCATTGAAAGTGAGATGGGAAATAAAAAAAGAAGACAAAGAAGAGGAGATTAGTAACACTAAGGAGAATGAAACTGAAAATAAGTTTTATGAGTCAGAAGAAAAACATAGTAAAGTTGTGAAAACATCTTACATTAGTGTTAGAGATTTGTTCTTTATCCTTTTCTGAAGAGAATCTGGAATTGTGAGATTGAGCTTGGGGTTACCACTTAAGTTTCTGCGAGTAAAAAAGAAGGAGTCTTTCAGAAACAAAACAAAGGAACAGAGAAAGCAAGAATTCAATAGCAGAAACTCACACGAGTGTCAACATCTTCATATCAGCAAGAAAATCTGGAATCTCTCCTGATAAATCATTATTTGATAAATCTCTGTCCATTGTAAGGGAGAAAAGAAAAACTTTTTGAAGAGGTAATATATCAAATAATTAAGTTTATTTGTCTTTTAATAGTTTCAGATGCTTACAGATCTCTCAGTTGTATAAGATTAGCTACATCAGGTGTTATGGTACCGTTCAATCCACTCGCTGTCAAATTCCTAAAGTTTTAAAGAGTCAGATTTTTTACGAAACCCCAAAACAAAAACAAAAACTTATAAAATATAAACAAAATGAATTATAATAAAAAAACATACAAGGATATGATCAGAGGTTGATCAGAGTCCAAATAAAGGCAATTTACACCTTCCCATCGATATATTTGAGGAGAACATGGATCTCCTTGCCAACTTATCTTTTTGCTCAATCCATATGTTTTCTTGATGTTCAGCATTGCAGAAACTGATACTCAAAAAAAAAAACAAAAAAAATTAAGAGGTTTCTTGAATTAATATAAAGGTTGTAGGAAAAATTAAGGAGGTTAATTGGATCGAGTATTTTAATTGATTCGGAAATCCAAACTAAAAAAATTATGTGCTATTTTGAAATCCTTGTTAAAATGTGTTTCTATTCGATTTATGATTATAGGTTACTAAAGCATAGCTAATATTTGTTGCTATTCAGTTCATGATTTACGAATTCAAGTTATGGATTTTAACAAATACAAAATACAAAATTTTACACGCATTATAGTTATTTGGAAATCTACATGAATTTCGATTTCAAAATTCCATGTGGAGATGTCAAAAAAAAAAAAAAAAAATCCATGTGGGTAGAAAGTATTTTAAACAAAATTAATAAACCCTCCTGAAACTTAAAACAAGAAAAAGGTAAAAGGAATGGGTTTATAAATGAAATTTACCTTCATCTTGGTATGTTTCGAGCAATGAATTTTCAACAACTGTATAAACCTCAAGCGCATTGATAAGTGGAGGAAGAGTAGAGTTTTCGGTCATTGTAAAAGTGAAACTGAATTTCCCATCTGAAGAACTCAAAGCTGTTGGACTAAAGATTGTTGTGACGTTCAGTTTGCGAGGTCTAAAGAGATTTTCCCAAACCTGGTCACCATTGAAAGTAATGTTGAATTCTCTGATCTCATAAGAACGAAGATTCTGGATTTCTGCAAAATGCATGTATATATATGATTTTGCATTGATGTCGCCTAGATCCCACCATATGTTGAGAGGGTGAGTAGCATTTGCAGGAATAATTGCGGAGTTTGCCACATTTTGAGGTACATTGTAGGCATTGCTCTTTGTATCGACCAGAAGATCGGTGCTTAACGACACCGTTTCATTCTCTCTAAATGGAACCCAAACTCGGTCATGGAAATCTTCATCATACCTAAAGAGACAGAGACAAAGAGGCATCAATTTGTTAATTCAACTCAATATTATATGGTTTATTATTTAGTGTATGAGTTTGATTGATATGTTGGATTAAAAATAGTGTATTAGCGAAATAGTAAAATAATGGAACAACGAATACAATTTCTATTTGACCATAACTTTTGCAGAATGACATTACAACGTTAAAACTGTTTTTAGGATTAATCACATTTTTAATTATATTTTTAACACGTACATAATAACATACAGTCATTTTTAATGAATAGTAAGAAAATAACAGAAATACATTTTCAAAACATGAAAAACTGTTATAACTTTCATCACCTATATTTTTTTTCAAATGAACCAACAACCTTAAACAAGCTAAACTTTAGCGTTAAGTGTAAATGCAAACCGAAGGAAACGTTAATTAACTACACAAAACTTTTCTCCTTATGTTTGCAGTTGCATTTTACAAAACTTTTAATGGAAAACTGAAAATGCTTCCTATATCAAATATATAAATTGTTATTTTGAGCAATTTTATCTTTCATGTGAACGCAAACGCAAAAGTTGTGTTTGAAACGCATTCTAACCTGAGAAACGATGGAGTGTGTGGAAAGTAAATTCTCGCGAACGACATCAACGATCCACTTTGAGTGACGTAAGTATCATTGTTCAACGGACGAAGTTCCAACGATGATATAAACGGTGTCGTTTTTCCTGTTTTGACAAGACAAACTTGAAGCCGGTCTTGTGTTAGAGCATGGATCATCTCGTAGATCGAAGCATTTGCTACTCCTTCCAATATAACAGAAGTCCATTTGTTAGGACCAATGTGAAGATCAAACTTAGGGATTTGATTCAAACCGTCGTAGTTCCCATACACAAAAGTTCCTCTAATCAAATATTTGCTATGCGCTGTGAGGTTGAAGTTGTAACAGTTTCTCTGACCTTCAGGGAAGCTTCTTAAGGTCCAAGTCTGTTGCTGAAACAGTGTCGTGTATGATTCTTTGATCTTCCCAATTAATCCACTGTCGATATAATTCGTGTCTGATATGTATGTTATATTCGTTGTCTTCTCCGTATAGGTTGCGTTCTTAGGGATTAATCCACAATCTAAGCTGATGAATCCTGTTCATGAAAATATTATAATCAGAGAGACAGAAAAGTTTAAGGTATATTAAAAGCATCAAGCTTTAGCGAAAACAGATTAAGAACCTGATTGATCTTGAGCTTGGACTGATTGAAGAATGCCTAAAGCAATGATCAATAAAAGCAAAAACCCATTACGAGATTTCATGTTTTTCCTTTTAAATCTTCGACATTTAGATTAATCAGTATTTTGGCAGAAATCAAACAAAAATCCAAGGAAACAGAATGAAACAAAGGGAGATAGTTGCACAGAGTCTTGCTCTGTTAAAATAATCTCAAGCTGTCTTTCACAAAGTCAAAAACTATTACAACGAAAGGGCAATATTATTAGGGAACCAATCATAATTTTTACTAATTTAGAAACGAATCCATAGTTTTCCATAGGAAAAAAAGTATATAGGAAAAGAATCCCAATTTCCATAATTTTTTACTCTATACTCTATAGCATTAGTTCTTACAAATCTTGACTTGTTTTTATTTCTCACCTTGTTGAATATCGTTTTGAATATTTGAAAAGGAAAAATATCACTAGAATGAATTGAGTCAATTTTAGATAATTGAGGCCCTGGATAGTTATTGATGTCTATAACAAATTTATTCGGTTTCGATTGCAGTTTAAATGCGCAATAGACACACCTTTACCAATTAATAAAAAAAAATTGTTTATAACATCACCTATGACCTAACCAAAAAAAAAATGTATAAAAGATTAAAAGTGCTTACAAACAAACTAAAGATATACCATTAGCACTACATTAACTAACTTAAATCGGTTTGGTTAGGTTCAAAACTGTTTGTTTTAAATAAAATTTAAATTAATTTAAATATAATATGATATCATTAAATCAGAATTATGTTTTAATTATGTATATTTTAGTTTAATATATTTAATTTTAGTTTTTATCGGATTTTCAACTGTAATTAATTTTAAAATTTGGAAAATATTTGTATTTTATTAATGGTTTTTAATCCTGAATTGACAAAAATGATTTTAATGTATGTGTAATAAGATTTAAATCATCCTAATATTGTGATTTTTTTATTAATAAAAATTGTAAAAGTAAAAACTACAATTTTATTGTAAAAAGTTGTGTTTTTAAAATCGGACAGAACCGACGGTCCGACCAGATTAGACTGTGAATTGAAAGTTTAGCCAAATTGGATTAATACTAAAACACATAAAAAGTTAAATCGGTTAAAACCCGGAGTAAACTACCAAAAAATTGGAAACTGATTGAACCGACAAACCATATCAAACCGGATTCAATTAAAAAATGCTTAAATCGTTATTTTTTGTCTTTTTTAGTTTTTACGTTGATTGTTGTTTAATAAAGTTTTTCCAAACAATATAATTATTGAAGAATTTAATTTAATATTTAATTAATTATAGGTTGTAAAATATTATCAAATTTGGTTGAACTTAATGGAACCATATTAATGCATGACCCAATAGCTTTTCGGTTCGGTCACCGGTCTGATTTTAAAAACAAAGGCAGAAAGAGAAATATACTTTATATAAGAAAGATAAATTATTCTCACAACACTCGAATAGTATTGTAAGAAAATCTCTATTCCACAGCCACAAAAATATATATAGAAAGAAAAACAAATCACAATTTGATTGGTTCAGTTTTAATGTTGTAGAGAGAAATACGGTAGTGCACAGCGCTGAGCAGTCACGGTTTCCCTATCTTATTGCTAGTCCTCTTTTTTTTTGTTTGGTTCAAATATTGCTAGTCCTCTAGACCAACTTTGTTGCAAGTTTTAGTCTTCGGCCTATAAAAACATCATCCTATACTACCATGGTTTCAAACTACAATCATAAGTCGTTTTAATTATAAGTTCTTAAGGATTTTTTTTATATATTAGAAAGTTGCAATGGTAACCGAGCGATCGAATTCAATCATTCTCTTTTCCATTCTTGTACTTGTTTTGGTCTTCTCTCCAATCCTTCCATGTCAAGCAGCTCGAGTGCAATTCGATGGTAAGCTAATAAGTTTTGAAATAATTACAAAATTATAACGATTTTACTTAGGTGAAATTCATTTATTTATTATTGTGACAGCTGAAGGGCGTATGTTGCTGAAAGAACGGGCACCGGGCCGCTATTGCCCGGCTTGTGTGTGTTGTGCACCAGCTCCAAAAGATGGTTGCTGCCCATGCATTTGTCGATGAACCAACGAGACTGCAATTTTGACAGCCTGTGCCTTTGAGGTGTTTGATATGTATAGACTCTTAATATGTTGCCCCCGAAAAAAAAAACTCTTAATATGGGTGTATGAATAAGCAAATAAAAAAGCTTAGTAAAAAAAAAAAGCTTAGACTCTGATGATTCAGACAATTGTACCTTATTATACTAATTTATTCCTTAACTTTTGTTTATTCTGATATCCATGGTTTAGGACACAGAACTGCATTAAATGGTTTGCCATAGCTTAAGAAATTATGCGTCGGTCTAGTGATTTAGGCCCTATATGGGACCTGTTGACTTCTCATTTGTACACACACACAAAGAGATTTTGAATCCCAAATTGGACTGTGGAAAAGTCGTCTTCGAAAAACGCATATAAATACATATTAATCCCCTCTATACTCTAATACCACAACCCATAACAAAAGCAGAGCATCAATGTCGTTTCACAGTGGAAAATCCATCTTTGTGAAGCTCACCTTCTTCTCTCTGCTACTTCTTCTTCCCTTATCACAAAGCAACGCTACTCGTATCCCTTCGATCCCGAGAGGTAATTCAAGTTATTAATCATCTATATATACACCATCATAATTCTAATGGAATGTTTTGATGAAGAATCATCTACAAGTCGCTTGGTATATATTTTCAGGTCCTATTGGCCCGAGAAGACCGATTTGCCCGGCTTGTGTGTGTTGCCAGCCAGCGCCGCTAGGAAGTTGCTGCAGATGTTGTGCTTCTCCTATCGTCACTCAAACACGTCACCACCCTCAGTCTTCATGAACATATATCATCTAAAAAGCTTGATGATTTGGTAGAAAGAAGAGCAATAATAAAGAGTCTTGTCCATGTTTCTGTTTCTATGCCTAATAAAAAATTAATAATAAAGATTAGTTTCAAAGTCAACATGAGTTCCATTTTTCGAGCATTGACCAACACTTTAATTTATGTGAAATATTGATAGTCTACTCTTCTCTATATGTGTAACAAAAAAAAAGAAAATTGAGGGTATTCACGTAGTAAATAAATAAAACCTATCAATTAAAAACCAAATATACATCAAATCAGCAGAACGGCGACAACTTGGACAGCTTCGGGCCTTAGGCGACGTATAAGCCAATAATTAATACTAAGCGATAAAAAAAAACATGTAAACCCTTTTTCTTTAATCCAAATCATGTGAATTCACTATAATTGAGATTAATAAATCATATAATTAACTAACTTCTTTAAGTCTGTAACACATACGACATGATTGTTAAGGATCCTGAAGATTTTTTTTTTTGGATTTTTCTGATCCACAGTTTCGAGGTTGTGGAGTAGACCGACTGGATCGTACCGAGGACTAGAAACACGTGCTTGCATCCCAATAGAACAGAAACGATGTCGTTTACTCGGAAACCCCAATATGGGATCGTTTGGTTTAGTGTCCAAGACAAAATCGTGTAAGAAAGTATTACTTTGTTATTAAAACACCGTTTTGCCCGTCTTTCGTGTGTTGCGAGCCAGCACTGCTAGGAATTTTCTGCATATGTTGTTCATCTCCTAACATCACTCTTTACTTAGTAATATACAAATAAGATCTATTAATTAATTAAAGACCAAAACTCATCAAATCAAATCTACAGAACGACGACAACTTGGACAGCTCCGGTCCCTTGTAAGCCACGCATCAATACAAAAACGATGAAAAACATGTCCACACTTGTTTAAACGCGTAATCTCATGATCATCTTCGTACTCTTCCAAACAAATTGGACAAATACGTTTACCACACCCTTCTCCTTCTGCTTTTTCGATATCTTTAAACATTAAGATTTTCGTCTGTCCCGTTTCGATGTCTTGTTGAGGCTGTGGAGTTTGGTGAATTGTATCGGGAGGTAATACCGAGGGACTAGTTCGATTGTGTTGATCACAGATATCCATGATCATGGCGATGATAATCATAATGACGTAGATGATGAGAATATAAACTATATCAATTATATCTGAAGACAAAGAATAAACTTAGAAGAAGATGATAAACATTGTTCATATATTCATTACTTGAGTCATTACAATACTCATAAGCTCATATTTATACTAGAGAATGATAAAACCCTAGACTTAAGGACAGATGGCAGAATTAGGCGGAAACATCTTGATCTAAGGCTGAGAATCGATTGCAGGTTTTGATCTTGTCTTCTACACCTGTACAAGTCTTCACAGCCTTGTCCTTTTGTTCCTTTTGTATAAACACTCTACTTTTGTGACAGAGCAAGTTAGCTGTTAAAGGCATTTCTTCATTTAAAACCGTATTGGGCTTTTGTTGAACTTGGCCCAACAACCCTAAGTTCTCACTTCTTGATGCTTCGTCGTTTTGACAACGAGAGAGAATTTCTGATGCATTTGCAGGCTTTGATTCTCCTATAGCCCCTCTCAAACTTGGTGTGGAATATTCATCAACACCAAGTTTGTAACGCAGAGAGCAAGTTAGCCGTTAAAGGCATTTTTTTATTTAAAACCGTATTGGGCTTTTGTTGAACTTGGCCCAACAACCCTAAGTTCTCACTTCTTGATGCTTCGTCGTTTTGACAAAGAGAGAGTCTCTGATACATTTGCAGGCTTTGATTCTCCTATAATATCCATCTTCACGCTACGGTTTCGTTTGTTACTACAGGAGAAATATCAAAACAGATTTTTTATTATTTATAAATATATGTAGAATTTGATATCAGAATATTTTCTATTATGATAGAATTTTGTTTTCCAATTTTCCTTCTTGTTTTTGGATAATCATGTGAAAAGAGTGAAATATATCATTAAAATTAATTATAGTAATAATAATTAAATAATCTCATGAATAAACTAAACTAATTTCTCCAAGTATGTAATCACAATTTAAGGATCCGGTCAAACGTCATCGTGCAGAACTTTCTGGTAAATTGTGGAAACCGAACGTCAAAAATAATTAAAACCTCCCAACACTTGCTTGCGTATCAAGAGAACCGTAACGGTGTCGTTTAACGGTAAAACCTCTATAATGGATTTTTTAGTTCAGGTTTCTTATAATGCCCTTGTAAAGAAAAAGCTGTAAAACCTCTATAAAAATTAAAACTCTGATTGGTAAATATTGTGGGTATAGGTTGTGAAAATAGGTTTTTGATTGTAGAGATTTGAAGACAATATTATTAATCATTTGAAATCAGTTATACGTAAAGTTAATTAACGCATCTAGACTTCTTCATAAAGTTTGGGATGTAAATCGAAAAGACTATACTAAAAACTTTTGATACAATATGTAAAATTAGAAAGATGAGATTGACTGATATTTTTAAAAAATTATAAACAAACAACACCAAATCACATTTTATTATCTTATATATCAAATAGAAATTTTATTGTAGTTTCAAAGTCAATTGTTTTCTTGAGTCTGACTTTAACCTTTGTCCAAAACCTTAATTAATGCCACCTATTGAGGTACTATTCTACACGGAAAGAGTTGAATTGATTATACAAAAACATAACTAAAATCAAGGAGATGTTGATCGTTGAATTTGAATCAATGGTTTGAAACGCTAAATTTTTTTGTTTTGAATTGAATTGAAAATAACTATATTTTATATTCAAACTAAGTGACTGAACGAACCCATGTACAAGACAAGACTGATCCATTAATTTTGACTAAAACATCATCAAAATTCCCCATGGCTGATAGCCTGATAACAACAAAACATGGACCAACATCAAGCAAATCGTTTCATTTGCAGCCATGGTTTTATCTTCTGTATCTAACAAAGGTAAGGAGACGCATCCGAGTGTTACACAGTATTGATCATGTCCGAAAACCATGTGTATTTATATGGTTTTGTTCCATGTATCATCATAAATCTATTTTAAGTAAATAAAGTGTTGTTTTGTTTCCAGAGACGGCCACGTGGCTCATAAGGTAGTTCCAGACCATGGGTTCCAGAGACCACTCGAGCATCCACAGAAAAGCTGCACAGATACCACCGAGCCGGGACGAACTTCTCTAGTATTGTTCGTGGGAAACGCGAGACCAGAGTAAGAAGAGACCACAGCCTCGGACGAGGCCACGGTTTTGTCTGATTGTGAATGTCGTGTTTGTTGCGTATTGATGAGGAGTCGTGCTCAGACAAGAACAGTCTTTCTCACGTAGATGTAACTCCTACATTTTCCCTACGAAGACATGTTATACACGGCACGTGCACGTGCTTGCATCCCAATAAAACCCTAACGACGCCGTTTACTTTGAAACCCTAATATGGGAACTTTTGATTTAGTGTCAAAACAAAATCGTGTAAGCACGTGTTACTTGTAATTAAACCACCGGTTTTCCCGACTTTTGTGTGTTGCGAGCCAGCGCTGCTAGGAGTTTCTGCAGATGTTGTGATTTGTGAATCTCCTATCATCAATCTTTAGTCTCAATCTCCATGAAAAAAAAATAACATTAAGAAGCTTGACTCAGTGGAAAGACTAATAATAAAGAGTCTTTTTAGTCCATGTTTATGTTTCCATGTCCTATTAGAAAAAATCTAGCTTCAAAGTTAGCTCTGATTAATGTAAAACTATTAATAGCTTACGTTCTAATAGAGTAACCAAAAGATATCACAATATTTACATATAAATAAAATCTATTAAATTAATTAATTAAAGACCAACACTCATCAAATCAAATCAACAGAACGACGACAACTTGGACAGCTCCGGTCCCTTGTAAGCCACGCATCAATACAAAAACGATGAAAAACATGTCGGCACTTCTTTAAACGCGTAATCTCATGATCATCCTCGTACTCTTCCAAACAAATTGGACAAATACGTTTACCACAGCCTTCTCTTTCTTCTTTTTCGATATCTTTAAACATTAAGATTTTCGTCTGTCCCGTTTCGATGTCTTGTTGAGGCTGTGGAGTTTGGCGGATTGTCTCGGGAGGTAATACCGAGGGACTAGTTCGATTGCGTTGTGCACAGACGATGGCGATGGTGAAGATGATGCCGATCAGACTGATCAACAACCACACAAGGGCTAAAATTTCATTCATATTCATCTTCACGGTACGTTTTCGTTTGTTACTAGCAAGATGATGAATATGAAAAACAGATTTTTTTTAACTTATAAAAGTATATATAGAATTTGATATCAAACTTCCTATTAAGATAGAGTTTTGTTTTCCTTTCCTTTTCTTTTTTGGATTTCTAATCATGTGTAAAAGGTGAAAATTTCTCTTTAAATATATTAAATTAATAAAAATAATAATAATATCATGTCATGAATAAACTAACCTAACTTCTCCAAGTAAATCATGAATATACAATCAAAAGTTATTTTGCAGTGGAACCAAACGTTACAAAAATAATAAAAAAACCTAGCTCCTAAAACGTGTTTATGTCTCAAGAGAATCCTAAGAGCATCCGCAACGCGAGTATTTACTTAGGTCTCTAGCAATTTTTTTAATTAAAAAATACAAGTAGAAGAGAAAATTTGCTGGAGACGTTTTTTTAATGGGTACCGGTGGAGACGTTTCTTCCCTACTTTTAATATTAAAAAAATTGGGAAAAAACCAAATTACTGTATTTGCATTGCGAATGCTCTAACGACGTCGTTACTTAAAAACCCTAACTAGGGATTTTTTATCAAGTTTCGGATAATGTCTTTATAAATAAATAAAAACTATATATAAAACTTAAGATTTTGATTGGTAAAGATTGTGATTGTAAGCTTTTGATTATAAAGATTGTTACACACATTTGGATGTAGTTACACATAAAAATCAATTATGGCATCTACATCTCTTTATAAATTTGGAATGCAAATCTAGGATATAACATTAAAAGCTTTCGATATAATATGTAGAGTAGAACTAAGGTGAGCTCGATTTTTTTTTTTTTTACAAGAACACCAAAATATATTTTATCATATTATCGTAGTGTATGTGCATATATATTTATATGTATTGTATCTAAGAAAGTTATTATTTTATCGAATTTGTTAAAAATCTTACATAGACCTAACTCAAATCGGTAAAATTTATTATTTGATCAAATATTAATATTAACAAGTTTTATGTAATTTCAAAGTCAATTGTTTTCATCAGTTTGACTTTAACCGTGGACCAAAACCTTAACTAACGTCAACTACAGTAAAAATATTATAAATTAATAGTGTTAAAACTTTGATATTTTATTAATTTATAGAATTATTAATTTTAAAAAAGATTTTTTTATAGATTATAAACTTTAAAACATTTTTTCTAAGATTAAAGATGAGTTCAAAAAGTTTTTCATTTTAAATAATAAAAAATTTTACTAAACTCATATTTTAGTAGATTATCTTACTTATATGTTTATATTCCCTCCGAATTTATTTAATTGTCGTTTTAAGATTATGCACACAGATTAATAAAATATTAATTGTATTAGTTTTTTTTTTCTTTTTTAACCTTCCATTTTATTCATCTTCATTCTTCCTCCTTAACGAGGCATCATTTATTAATTGTATTAGTTTTTCAATATAAAAACATCATTAATTATTTATTTAAACACAATTCAACCAATAATAAAACAAATTGCATAATAAAAATAATTTTAAAAAATAAAAAAATTAATAAATATTGCATTGAAAACTGAAAACGACAACTAATTTAAAACAAACAAAATTTTCTAAAATGACAACTAATAAAAACGGAGGGAATATTAGATTTAATTTATGGTAATTATTAATTTATGATATCAATGGGACCATATATTTACATAAGAGTTTTGTTAAAACTATTATCTTATTCTCTTATTGAATTGTATCATAATTTGAACCGATCCAATTCCAAACCATAAAAAATTATTAATTTACAGAGTTTATTAATTTAGCAAATATTAATTTATTAATTTATAGATTTTGTACTGTATTGTAGTATTTCTCTACAAGGAAAGAATTGAATACATGCATTATACCCCAAACAAAACCAAAAAAAAAAAGACAACAAAATGAAGGAGATACTGATCATTGACTCATTGGTTTTAGACGCTATGTTTTTTTTTTTTTTTTGGAATTAAAAAGAACTATATTTGATATTCAAACTTACAGAACAGAATGAATCCATGTACAAGAAAAAGATTAATACATTAACCTTGACTAAAACATCGTCGAAAATCACAATGGCTGATAATAACAAAACATGGACCAACTCAAGCAAACCCTTTCATTTGCAGCCATGGTTTTATCTTCCGTATCAAACAAAGGTAAGGAGATGCAACTGACTATATGAGTGTTACAAACTATTGATTATGTCCAAAACCATGTGTACATATATATGGTTTTGTTCCATGTACCATCATCAATTTTAGTAAACAAAGTGTTGTTTTGTTTGCAACATATCAAATATATATGAACTCTTACATCTCTTCATCGATTCTCCAAAAGAATAATCATATAGAAACATGCAAAGGCAAAGATCTATTCGTCTCTTTAATTAACTACTTAGCTGGACTTTGACTGATCATTTCTCTAGAAAAACTAAGCTTCTAGGCAATGGCGAATAATCAATCAAAGGACAAGAAAAAGGGTCTTAACTCTTCAGGTTTCCTTGTTTTTATCTTCCTTGGACAAGACCACTAAACACTTGGCTGTTTCCAGCAAGAGTTGCCTCCCATTCGATGGAAGACAAGAGTATCTGCGAGAGCGATATAACCACTTGCTTCATGTTTGGTCTAAGAATCGGATCATCATCTACGCATTGCTTTGCCAACATAGCAATCTGTCCACAAAAATAATTCATTCACAATTGAAAAGTCAAACGGTTACTACAATTTTCATCTACTAAGCATTTGTTTCTTAGTTTACCTTGAATAAACAGTCGTGTGGGTATAAATCCATCATGTTGGGATCGACAAACTCCTTCAAACTCGACATGTTCATAGAGTCTGGTGAGTTCTTAAGAGCTGTTAACATCTGCAATGGTAAAAGACAGCCAAAGAAACGGGCCTTGCCAATGAGTATTTCATCAAAGAAGTGTAATGGTTCAATATCTGTAAACTCCAAGAGCTTACAATAGATGCCAATGGACGTCTTTCTGGATTCTTAGTTCCCATTGCCTCTGTTCTTATAACAGCTTCTCTTCCAGAAATGATCTCAAAAAGAACAACACCAAAGGCATAAACATCACTTTTCGAAGTAGCATGACCGTCACTTAGATATCTGCAGAGGAATAGACAGAAAAGTCGCAGATAAGAATTCTTGTATAAAAACTGGATGTAACTTCAGGTTTTCAAGTGCTTACTCTGGTGCGAGATAACCATATGTACCAACAACTTTCGTAACAGAAATTTCTCCCTCTCCAGTTTTCTCAACAAGTTTCGCAAGTCCAAAATCCGATATCTACACACATGCAAAGATAAGATTAACTCAATTGTCCTGTATAAGAATCATAACATGTAATGGATTTCATAAGTTGAAGGGACTCAGACCTTAGCCCTGAATGCCTCATCGAGCAAAATATTGCTGGTCTTGATATCTCTATGAACATAATGAGTTTTAGTATGTTCATGAATATATTCTAAGCCTCTTGCTGCGTCAAGTGCAATCTGATTCCTCATTATCCAAGACAGTGGGGTATTGCCTTCAAGAACATCAAGAAATATATCATTATCATCATCATCAACTTCTCGTTATGCCTTGTCGGTATTAGTCTTCTTTACCTTTGCTCTGAGGATCATGCAAATGGCTTTTCAGCATTCCTTTCTGAACATATTCATACACTACGAAAAGCTCGTCATTGGTTGCAGCGTAACCAATCAACTCTACCTTTGACAAGAATAAAAGCAAACCCAAGAATCATAATCTCGAATGATTTAGACGCATAAAGAAGATTACACACAACGAGAATTACCAGATTGGAATGATGAACTTTGCAAAGAACTTTCATCTCTGCTGCAAACTCTTTAGTTTTAGTAGCAGTCATCCTTTTTACAGCAACTTCCTGTGATAGGTTTAATCACATATTACAACGGATAAAGCCATCACAACGACTCAAACTCGCAAATGAAAATGTGACTAATTGCACAAACCTGTTCTCTAAGTAGTCCAAAGTAGACTGAACCATAATTTCCATGACCAAGAAGATTAGAATCAGAAAACCCATCCGTAGCTGCACGGATTTCTTCATAAGTAAACACCATAGGCTTCTCTATCTCAAACATTCCGTCACCAAGAGCTAATACACAAAAGTAAAAAAAATTGTTCAAAAACAAAGTCCTTTTAAGTAGAAACCACAGATGATGAAACCAAAAACTAAACCTTTAGGAATAGCAACAACTTGATGATGGCTCTGAGTTTCACCGTTGGTTTGTCTAAAATCCCCGGATCTGCAGCAGTTATACCGACCAGAACCGCAAAAGAAACCAGACTTCCTAAGGATTTGGAAGTTGTGTCCACCACTATCTTCATCACTTGAATTACAGCTAGATGATCTCAAACAGATACATACAAGTATACACATCACAAGAAGCGCAAGCACAACTCCAAGACCACCAACAATCCATATATAAGGCACATGACCACCCTTTGCAGTGTGATTCACCTGATCAGCTTTTCCAAAATTGGAAAACATATATAAAAATGTGAGCTTCACAATACTAAAAATAGAAACTTGAGATTCAGATTAAGACAAAAAGAAAACATAAAATCAAAACCTGAGAGATTGCTATTGGTTAATGCAGGCGCAGGAGAAGGAGCAGAAGGGTTTATCTTCTTCGTCTCATAAGGCTCTCCAGGTACTTGGCAACAACAAAACCAATACATCAAATTGCTATCTTAATACCTATAATTTCTCAAAATTAAAGATTCTTTACCGGAATCAAGCGGGATGTAAATGACATCTCCGGTTGTGATATTATCAGGATTCGAGATTCCGTTAACTTCTTCGATTCGATCCATACTAACACCGAATCGACTCGAGAGCGATTGAACACTGTCTCCAGAGACGGCCACGTAGCTCATAAGGTAGTTCCAGAGACCACTCGAGCATCCACAGAGAAGCTGCACAGATACGACCGA